TCCACAACAGTTGGTCTTAGCCACGTAGGAAGGTGTAGACTTCCAGGCTGGGGTCCTCGGGACGGTAAAAATCTATGGTTGGAAACAATTGGTGACATGGCTCAAAATCGTTCTCAGTGGCGCAGATGCATCCACTCCCTGTGACTTATGATCTTCAATGAAATTGTTTTGTATTTCTTTATTACTCCTTTGTCTCACACCTCTGCTCACTGTTTCTATTATGCTTTTCTTGTACTTTCTTCTCTTGCTTCGCGTGCTACACGGAATGTGGCGACTTGAACTTCCGCACATTTGTGCAAAGTTCTATGTCGAAAACAGACAGACAGACAGTACTGATAGATATGACTCTAGTAGACTTCATTGTTACAGACATTGAATTATGATTAGGATGGTGTAACTCCGCCTATTAGTGTCTACAGAATGCAAGGGATCATTAGTTAGAGATTGTTGACCGATTAGTTTCGACACAGTACTTTGCACAGAAGTGCAACAGTTTGAGTAGCCCCACACTCCGTGAAGCATACAAAGGAAGACAAAAGACAGGAAAAAACTTAAAGGACAATAATAAGCACAAATGTGAGGCAGAAGAAATAGTAACAGAAGAAACAATAGGGTTTTGTTGGATATGTCAGATCACAAAAGGTGAATGCACCTGGGCCACTGAGAACGTTTTCGAGTTATGTAACCAAAAGTCTCCAAGTATTAGTTCTAAGCATCCTGAGGACCCTGGTCGGGGGTGTTAGGAAGAGGCAAAACACATGCAATTATCAGGTCATTATCATGTCTCAGTCAAGTTATTATCGCGTTATTAACAAGTCGTTGACATGCAATTGTCCTGCTTTCTGATTGGACGCTTGCACAATTCCAAACTCTCAACCGGATTGGTTGATTTCCAGTCTACCTTATTTTTGTATAAATACAGTCACTTTTGTCATAATAAAAAAACCTGGTTTTACCGCTAATTCTCGCGTGTTCTGCCTTACCAGTTAAGTGGGCACTGGTCAGTAGTTAAGCAGTGACCTCGTGACAAAAGATCTAGCATCATAACAAGGGGTCAAAGACTGATGTCAAGTTTTGGCTTGACCACCACTTTTTTCCAACCTAATCTCATGTCAGGTGACATTGCCTGTAGAGGAAGGTGACAGCTAGGCATGTGCGATACGTGTCTTAGCCATCTCCGACGACTCATTGATTAAAATACCCTCCTTATTAAGCACTCCACACCTAACCTCAATCCAACTCACCAGATTATATCAATTACCACGGGAGACAAAATGTAAATATCTGTCACCACTTCAGGTGGCAACTCGCAGTAAGCTCTTACCTGGTTGCGTGAGTGCGAGTAGAGTTAAAAGTCAACCTGAATGAAGAATATCCTTTCCAATAAATTCTCTTCAGGTTATTACAATTATAAAATATAATATTTATCGTCACAATAATGGGCAATTATGCAGTGGATACATTTTTTACGTAGAATAAAAGATTTGTCATAGGATGAGAAAATAAATAGTGGCAAACGTATTGAGCTGGATTCAATTACAAAATATTGTAAAATGAGAGACCATGGTGGTGACTAGTCATAATAAAATGATACAATGTAGGGAAGGAAAATTGAAAAGTCAGATCAAGGTTATAAAAGGTATCAGGTGAGTAGCTAGTAAGAAGCAGTGTGCATTAAAAAGGAGACAATAAGACTGCAGTGAAAAGTTAATCATGAAACAACCAATTTATGAAAACAAACAGGTGGAGGGATACTTAGAATATTCTTCGTTTAGATGGACTTTTAATTCATGATATGGGGATATTTCACACTATTATATCTTACGAGTAGAGTGCTTTGATAAGTGCGATATATTTCCTTGGCACTTTCATCACGGCGAAACATTGCCACAGAACCTCTCAGTCAACAGTGTCGAATTCTGTCTTCAGGTTAAGAAATAAGACAAGTCTTGACGGCGGCAAGTTTGACTATGTTCCAGGATTTGTCGAAGGGTGAAGATATGATCAGTACACCCTCTTCCTAGCCTAAAGAAGTTTGTTTCTCCCGAGCACCATTTAGTCTTTGCATGAATATTGAACCTAGAGCTTTAGATAACATATTCGTTAAGCTAATCCCTCTATGATTGTCACAGGAAGACTTGTCTCCCTTCTTGTATGCTGGGATAAGCAATGATTTACACCAGTCTCTGATTCCCAAACATTGCTTAATACCTAAGTTAACCCAGACAGCAATTTGTCATCACCGTCCTTAAACACCTCTGGAGTCATTCCATTGGGACCTGCTGCTGGCCTCCTTTCGTTTCAGATAAGCATTAGTCTTTTTATCTTAATTCACAGGACCGGTGTCGACATTTGATTCAGGCAGGTGTTGAATGCTGAGCAAATTGATCGTGGCTGTAGACAAGTAAAATTGCTTCTCAAAAGTGCCAAGCTTCCTTAAATAGGGACTCATTGTCATGATCAATTTGGGGGCATAACCGCTTCACTGCTGTCTGCTTTTTATTTCCGTTCAGTCTTAGGTATAAGTTTGCACGGAGCAGGCCGTCATCGGTGCCTACGCACATGTTCCAGAAAGAATGACAGTCTTCTACTAACTCTCATCAATGATGGCTTGTTGCTATGTGATAGCGACCGCCAGGTTAGGCAATGTCTATCTTGTTTGAAATTAGTGCTGACCAGGAACATATAACTATCGGGACAGAACAGTAGATAATCACCGTTGTCGGATTGTCGACAAAGAACTCCGTAGGTGCTACTAATATACTTCTCAGATTGACACAACTTCCCCACTTGGGTATTGAATTCGCCTGCTAAAACGACTACATCTGAGCGTTTTGCTTTTTGCAGCAAACTAGATAGCCTTTCGTAGAACTCATTCTTAATTTCGTCCGAACTGTAATAGATTGGGGTGTAGACGGAGATAATGAAAAGACATCGAGGGGCAACGCAGTCCTTCCTTCTTACGGATCCATTCAAACAGACGGCACACATACGACTATCCACTGAGGTCATGTCGAATAGAGATTTTCCTGAGCTAGCAGTGAATGTTATCCTTACAACTGAGAGTCCTCGCGAAATGGTTGAAGTCTCCTGACACCCATAAGGTGAATTTTTCAGATTCGCCTTGCTGGCATGGTGGGGTTGAGTATACGTGTATCCGAAACACTAGATACATCTATGACCGTAGAAACCAGAGTTCTGGTAAGTGATGCCTGTTTGCCGAGTTGTAAATCTGCATTGCTTTAGATGCTTAAGACATGTCAGGTATGAACAGATGTATTCGTGCTTTATCTCCACCTAGATTATGTCTTATTTTTTATCTGCTTCATACAACTACCTTCCTTGGTTCGATGATATTCTACAGCTTTCTGTGATAACCATTTTCTTGAATCGCTTTCATCAACTACATTTGCAGATATAAGATACAAAAAAAGCTAAGTCATTATACAGTACTACAACGGTAGTAATAACGATAGAGTTAAACCCCAAATAAGTAATAGTGTCTTGTAATGAAAATTTATAATAGTAGATCACAACTATAAGAATGGGTTTTTTATGTAGTTGTGTTCTCTGAGCCGTATGGTTTACTTACGAAGCTCTCATCACCTTACTAGGTAACACCTTCAGCCCGTGCTTCAATTTGAGGTGAGCTTTTAAATTTCTCCACGAGTTTATTAGTTTTCTCTCCTGAGGGCCTTGAACGTGATTGGTTGCTTTCGTCTGTTTTCACGCCCTGTAGTCTACTTGTATTTGTGTTTATTGTTCCCTTGACCTGAAGTTTAATTTTTGTGCATAAGATTTTCCTCTCGTGGATTGGTAAATTTTATCTATGTTGTTAATGAGCCTGTTAACCGCCGATTCACTAGAATACCAGGCTTGTAAAAATTCTCTGGAGTTCTTGGTGTTTACTCTGCCTAATATTCGAACGTCGTCTCAGTCGAACTGATGTCTTTGGTTACCTGTGCGCAGCGAAATGAGGGAGTGGATATCATGTCTTTTGACGACTAGTTAGTGTTCATGGAAGCGAGGATCGAGAGGGTGTCCACTTTGGCCAAAGTAGTGTTTTTTTCGCAGTCGTTGTAATTTATTTTGTAAATGATGTTGGCTTTGTCTTCCTTCGCTGTTGAATCTTTTGGCTGACACGGAGCTGAGGGAAGTGATTTTGATGGTTTATGTGTGACATCAATCGCTAAAGGTTTGAAAAGTCTTGAAGTCATTACAGAGACGTTATATATATATATATATATGGTAAAATGATTTTCTTTGTGTTTTCCTTGAGGGGATTTGATCTGGTTGGTTGGCTAGGGGGTAGATATCTTTTGATGAAGTTTCATAGATATATACTCTTTTGGAAGGCGTCCATGAGATATTCTCTTCATTTTTATTTAAGGTAAGAGTGCTGTAATGAGTCCTAGCTCTGTTATTGGGTTGTTGTTGTTGTTGTAATTGAGTATATGACCTATGTGGGACTGGGATGACTTTCAAATATCAGGCAGAGGATTTTTACAAGCCTGGTATTCTGGTGAATCGGCGGTTAACAGGCTCATTAACAACATAGATAAAATTTACCAATCCACGAGAGGAAAATCTTATGCACAAAAATTAAACTTCAGGTCAAGGGAACAATAAACACAAATACAAGTAGACTACAGGGCGTGAAAACAGACGAAAGCAACCAATCACGTTCAAGGCCCTCAGGAGAGAAAACTAATAAACTCGTGGAGAAATTTAAAAGCTCACCTCAAATTGAAGCACGGGCTGAAGGTGTTACCTAGTAAGATGATGAGAGCTTCTCAAGTAAACCATACGGCTTAAAGAACACAACTATGTCAAAATCATCCACCTGAACTACAGGGTATACAGTCTAATATACTAAACCTAACATATCCTCAAAGTAATGTGCACGTATTACCACTAGGTTGCTTTAAATATCTAAAAATATAGGTATAACAAGAAAATTGATGCAGAAATAATAGAACAAATTACAACTTAGAACTCACTTTCTCAGCCTATATGATCATCAAATAGAGTAGTTGTGTTTGTTGTTGATAATGAGGACATCATTGGTGCTGATGTCACCAATGTCGACGAGGATGATGAAGATAAAGATGAGGGTGTTGTGCTCGAAGTAACTAATTGTATATCAGAAGCGACTGATTCAAATGTAAGTGTATTATTGCTGCCATACGTATTATCATTAGTTAGGTGAGGATAATAAACGTCAGTTAAAGGGGTTGTGGAAATAATACTGTTACACTTGTCATTATTACTGGTACATGTAACAGTAGTATTTGTATTAGTAGTATCTACATTGGAAATATAAATATCAGCATTTTCACTATTATTATTATTACTATTTGATATGGAAGTATTTCGGCTAATATTGATTTCGTATTTGAAATCAGTTACAGAAAGGAAATCAGACGATTGTTCTTTCAATATGGAAACGTCTGAATTAGATGAACATAATGTTGAAGTTGGTGATGATTTGGTTGAGTTTGTCGTAAAGTAACCAGATCCATCAGAAACTAAGAGATTGGAAGGATTGAACAGATCTAATGTTATTGGAGCGGTTGTTGTTGTTATTGATGTTGTATCCATCTTTTGCGGAGTAAATGAATTTGAAAAATTAACTAGATCATCTTTTGTATTCAATACTGAAGTAGAAATTAATATATTAGAAGACTGTTGTCCAGAAGAAAAAGGCTGAATAGATCCACAATTGACGAAACTGTCAGTCGATGTAGTTATATCCACATTACTGGTACTACTAATAATGATACGATTGTTGGTATTATTATCAATAACAGTAGACGTGGTGGTAGTCATATTATTATTATTACTAGCAGTAATGGTAGTATCACAGTCGATATTGGAACTATGAACTGTACCGTCAACTTGACTTTTGATAAAGGTCTTGACTACATCCAATGAAGTGACATCTGCCGATGGTGTCTGTGATGATGGTTTTGTTAAGGTTTGTTGAATATTAGTTAATATATGTCTTGATGATGTATCAATCAATTCAGAAGGATGTAATGGATTATTAGTAAGTATAGTACTTCTAGGCGATCGAATTGATAGACCAGGCGTTGAAACTGATAATCCTAAAACTGTTTTACTCAGTATATCAGTGTTATTACTACTACTGCTGCTTTTACCACTATTACTGTTATTATTATTATTACTGCTACTAAGTGCACTAGCTGCTGCAGCAGTTGCACTTGCTACGGCATTCGCATCAGCTGCAGCTATACGTGCATTCAAATTGACAGAAGCATTAACAGGTAAGGGTGAAACAGATACACCTGATATTTGACTTCGATAACTATTGGATTTTGGTATTATAAAAGTAGGTACTGAACCGATAGCATCATCTGTATCACCAATAGGTAATGGGTTCATTAGATCGCCAACTCCTGATTCTGCTGCTACAATCATTGCTGTTAACGGTGTTACTGGACGATGTATAATTGTTTGTCTCATATCTTGACTGGGTATTGAAGATAAAAATGTGTCAGAAACAGGATTAACACCAGTTAACAGTAAACTGCTAGAACGATTACTTCCAATTATATGTCGTTTACTAGTGTTGTTGTCAAGACCAGATATATAGGCGGTAACAGATGACTTCGGCGGAAGCATGCTAGTGCTACCATTATTATTATTATTACTACTTGAAAGCAATGGATTGGTTACTACACACGCATCCATTGTACAAACTGATATAATTAAGTCTGATATTGATTTAGATGAGGCACTATGAGAGAGACCAGTAATTCCTGACTCTGATTGAATGTTAACAAAATCTTGGCGTGACGCCGACAGTGACTGTTGCGGTTGTGATGATGTCCGAGTAGTTGGTGAGACTGTTGACGACAATGCATAAGATGATAACGACGAAGTTGTAATAGGTAAATTTGTTGTAGGGATTTGATCTAATGTATTACTAGATCTTGATAGAAGATAACTTAGGTTTGTATCTGCTTTAGTGATCGTGGGAACGACAGACACAAGACGAGAAATTGTGCTACTGATAACTGGTTGGCATGGTGTTTCAGATGAAGTTATTTGTGGATGATTTAAAAATGATTGTGTATCATTTGAGGACTTATAAGCGGAAACAAGCGAATAAGGATGAGGATCCTCGGTAGTATTACGATTATTATTATTGCTAGACAAGAGAGATTTAACTTCAGTGGGCACAGATGATTGGGAAGTCTTAGAAACAGCCGACACACTGACAGTCTGATAGGACGAAGGAACATTCAACTGTTGATTGGAATTATTTAAATTAATAGGGGAAGACAAGTGAACTTCACGAATAGCTGTTGAAGTATCTAATTGACCATGAGGAATATTTCCATCAACTGACGACGCAGATGATGTTTGCGGTAAAATTATAGCATTATGAATACTGTGAACAGAAGAAGTATTTCCAAATCTCAATGATGTAGGCGGAGGTATCACAGTAATTGGTGGATTAATGCTACAGGCGGTGTTATTATTATTATTACTGTTAGAAAATGCAGCTGCAGCCGCGGCAACAGCAGCTTTAAGACCATTACGTAATGCGTTCACATATTGAATTTGGTATGCATCAAAGTCCAACTCTTGACGTAATGTTCCACTGAGTATAAACTCTTCATGATGAACAGCTGAAATTACAAAAGTGAAAAATAAGTCAAAAGAAGTTTTATTAAAAAAAAGTCAAACGCTGTCAACTTTAGGCATCTTATGAATTCCCTAGAGCAATTTCAGAGTGAAGTTTCACTCAATCATTGTAAAAGTGTTTATAATAATTCTAGTGTTTAGGCAAATCAGAGCAAGATTTTTCTGAACGCTTCACAATGTCTAATTTTGTAAATATATTACAGGATTATTTTGAATAATTTTATAATACTATATTAACTGTCTGAATCGCACATAACTACATTAATCTAAAATTCAGTTTTGTTGCAAAAAAGACACCTAACAATATGAGGAACCTCAGTCTGCTCCACAGTGAAATACCTTGTAAGATTTACACAGCCATAATACTGACTACTATTCTAGCAGCATAACATCATAACTAAAAAAATGTACAGTTTCAGTATCCATCAAAGGTTACAACAGGTAGGTGGATGCTTTAAGCATCAATTTCAATGCTTAGCAAGGCAATCAAAGCGATAATGATATCTAAGAACACACATGATACTGTTTCATCTACGCTACACACATAAATCATGAGACGGTATGTCACTAAAATGGAAAGACATTCAATACACCACCTGACTAAACGAGTTTCAGTGTAGTGCAGTGATCCAAGCTGTCATATTTCATAAGTACACGAAGTGTCAAAGAAAAACAAAACAACATTTTCTGCGAAATTAAGATTTCTAAAAATAAAGTTCAAAACAAATTTCAAACAACTTTATGAGTAGTATTACGTTATTTAAGTTAGAATTGGCTTAAGCTTTTTTAGATGACAAGTGAGAAAAATCTCAAATCTGAACAAAGCAATGACATTTAAAATAGTAATGAATAAATAACATGACGTAATCAAAACAGACAGAAATCATACATAAACAAGAAAGGTTGAACGACGTCAATGCCAATCAAAAGGTGTACACAGTAAATTAATGGATTGCTGAGCCACTGTGATCTGATTATCTTCAGCTTCCTTTCCCTGATCTAACTTGTTTTCACATAAGATGGCTGCTTAATTCAGACAACAACTAGTCATACAAAAAAATGCAAACCACAAGGATATTTAGTGTTTTAATCACCTTCTTGGTTAAGAACACTGTGCCCACCTACTACTAGACACTTCCAACAATAGTCCCATACATCAACACTGAGGGCTTACGGCGAGTTGTCATCTGAAGTGGTGACGACTAGTGGTGTCCGTCAAGGATGCGCTGCCCATTATCCCCTTTTCTATTCAATTTCATCATAGATGTGTTAATGGACTAACCCTTACTCACTTCAGAGACTCAGGGATTGACTTGCTACCAGGGAATAATCTCGTTGACTTAGAATATGCAGACGATATAGTCCTCCCTCCTAGGCGAGGACGCTGACACAATAGAGCAGAGTCTTCTGAACACCTTGATAAGTAGCGATCTTCGAATGTTTGGCATGCGATACGCTCCCGCCAAATGCAAGATGATGGTACAGGACTGGACTACACCGACTCCTAGATTAGAAATAGGGAGTGAAGTGGTAGAGCACGTTGACCGCTTCACTTATTTGGGAAGTACCATCAGCCAACGCCAACGGGTTGATCTCTGACGAAATCTCAGAACGGACACAGAGGGCTCGTTTCGCATATCCCAGTTTACGCCGTCTCTGGTGTAGACGTGATATCCGGCTGTCTATCGACCAAAGGGCATGTGTACTGCTCATCAGTCCACTCCGTCCTCCTTTATGGCCAGCTGTGAGACCTGGCCACTGAGAGTGGAAGACATGGAAAAAACACTAGCTGTCTTTGATCATAGGTGCCTGCGCTCTATCTCCCGTGTGGAGTGGTATAATAAGATGAACAATATTGAGGTTAGGCGTCGGTTGAGTGCTAGGTAAGGAGGGGAAATCAATCGACAAGGTTGTGAAATTACATCAACTGAGATGGTTAGGACATGTGTTACGTATTCCTAGCCTAGTCATCGCCTTCCTCGATGAGCAATGTTAGCCGATATAGGGTCAGGCTGGAAAAAAGCTAGCGGCGGTCAAACCAAAACATGGCCGAACCAATTAATAAAATCCACAACAGTTAGTCTAAGCCACGTAGGAAGGTGTAGACTTCCAGGCTGGGGTCCTCGGGATGGTAAAAACCAATGGGTGGAAAGAATTGATGACATGGCTCAAAATCGTTCTCAATGGCTGGCGCAGATGCATCCACTCCTTGTGACTTATGATTTCCAATGAAACTGTTTTGTTCTTCGTTATTACTCCTCCTTTGTCTCACGCCCCTGTTTACTGTCTCTAATATGCATTACTTCTCTTGCTTTGTGTGCTACAAGGAATGGAGTGTGGCGACTTGAAGTGCCGCACAAATGTGCAGATAGACAGACACCACTGGAACGATGCTTTCAAACATAAAAATGATCAAATACTTTTCTAGATTGATTGTTCGCCTTCAACGAATATGTCTGCTACTCGTATAAGAGGAACGAATGCTACCACTAGGGAATACAAGATAACAAATTACATAAGAATTAATAGGAAATCATCTATTTCGAATTAATTGGCCTGCAATAGAAAATAATCATGACTTATATGCACAATCGTGTGTTAAAAATCTACACAACTTGCTTCAGCCTGAGAAACAGCCTTACAAACACTAAATGCGTCTTCGATCTCATCATGTATACGCATCGATGAACAGGAACACCTTAAAATCTTTGACATTATTTTAATAGATGAATTTTCGACTAATTCTAAAACCACTCCTTGTTCGATATGGAACATAGTGGTAAGTGAATCACTGGTATGTTTTTTTTTGAAAGTCTACGTTCTAGCAAAATATCTACCATTAGTATGCATATAAAGTGATGTCTCTGTCACAATAAGCACTATTCAGAATTGTATAATGGAGGTATGCAGATGACAAATCCACTGTACTTAGAATACAGGACATCAACAGATTTTTCGAACATATCAACTTGAAGGTGGAGGCAATTCAATTCACTTATGAATTGGAAAGTCAGGTTAAGGGAGCTTCCAATGTTAGATTGTAGCGTAAGAAGGAAAGAAGATGGGAAGTTAAACACTAGTGTTTACCAAAAGCTTACAGATTCAAACCGATGTTTGGATTTTGGATCATTCCACCCGATGTCAGTAGAAGTAAGATTGATGGAATGTTTGAGTGACAGGGCACAAAAACTAAGTAATACTAGGGAAAATCTAAGATAAGAAATCAGGCATATAAGAGAAGCTTTGAAACTTAATAATTACCTGGATAAATTAATCAGGAAGTTTGCAGGAAAATTTGAAAACAAAATCAATAGTAATGGTGGTGGTATTGATGATGATAATAATAATAATGACGACATGCATGCCAAGCATGCACAGAATAATGACAACACTAAAAACAGGGAATTTCAATCATCAGTAATACTTCTATACGAGGAAGAAACCTCGGAAAACTTACCCAGAATTATTAACAGTACATGAATAAAAGTGGCATTCACACCTGCAAACTCAACTAGAAATGGGCTTTGTCGGTTAAAGGATCCTGTGGAGCCTTTAAGACAAAACAGTTTAGTTTATCTTATACCCTGCTGGAATGATTGTCAGGTCAAATTAGTAGAACGGGGTCAGTCAAACTATCGGAGCATAAAAACCTAGCAAAATCTAGATTAGTTGTCCCTAACAAGGTAAGAAATCTGGAAAATAGTTCAGGTACATCACTGAATACAATTACACGCAACCATATAATAGGGTGGGATAAGATGACAGTTTTAAAACCTTATATAGGAGGGTGGAAGGATAGATTGACAATGAAAGCTTTATTTATCGAATCAACTGAAAATACGTGTAGTAGGAATGATTCAACACCTGTTCCAGACATCTGGAAGATTCTACTACCCCTACGACGAAAAAGAAGGAATACAGAAAACTATAAACTGAAGTTGATATGATTATGAACAATAAATTATATTGGGAACATCACCTAGTAAATAATACTGTTTCACTGTGTGATATATCTAATATAGAAAATAAAAACAAGTGATTCAGCGAAGACTGTTTTCAACGAATTTATTATCAAGCTGTACAATCGTATATATATGGTAAATAATAATAATTTCGTTGAAAAGAGTCTCTTCGCTGAATCAATCGTTTTGATTTTCTATATGTTACAATGGGAATTTTCCATGAATATATTTAATAGACAAACGAATATGGAGTTACATACTACCAAAGTGCCCAAGTTTTATACATAAATTAATCAGAATAGATATACATATCTCACCTTTATTGCCTGTCTTCGTGCGCATCAGATAATTGGCTACATGACTATCGTCTTCATGACAGATAATCAATTGTTTCGGTTGTGCTAACAAAGCCATTTTTTGTGTTGGCCTCCTTTGACGAACTATACCATGACCTGCTCTGATCAACGCCATACACATTTCCCGATGACATGCACCAGGAGAAAACCAAAATTCTAAGCCAGCGAATAGACCAGCCTCAGGTCCAATCATTTGACGTTTACGCGCTATACTTATTGACTTCTTTAAATCAATGCCCAGTTGAGCTTCAGAATCTGGATCTGATAATATCCAAGGTTTTTCATCTAAAATAAATATCGAAAATAAATGGGAAAAATTATTTGCTAATACAGGATTAGAAAGTAGGTAATATGACTCAGTTCTAAGCCTAGAGATTTATGAGGTAAACAATGAAATGACTATGTAGGGCGTCTTTTCGTGAAATCTGTCGAGTTCCTGAGGTATAATTCTGAATCATACACAGTATTCTAAACGTTCTTCAACCAGTGAATACTACTGTCCATCCTATAGCAACTCTACAAACAACGAACATAGAAGTAAGTTTTAAAACAGTACTTAATTGTAATGTGCCATGGTGATGGTGATAATGTAGTCAACATTTCTACATTGTTGTCTGGCATTTTGAGAACGAAATAATTCAAGAATGAACACATTTGCATATACTGTAAAGCATGATAAAGAATAAAATGCTTAACAATTAATTTAAAGATATTCTTTAAGAGAACAGTTCAAATTATAATCCGCAGTATACAAACATAACAATAGTAGAGCAACACAATTTTATGATAAAGAGAATAAAAGACTATAAAAGATCCACAGAGTGTAAATAGTGAAAAACACACAAAAAATCTTGAAAAAACAATGACTTTAACCAAATAAGCAAATTCATTACATACTTTTGTCCACAGTGATGATTACTTATTTAGAGTATGATAATAACTTTGATTCATGAAAGTATTAACTTGTGAACAGAATTGTCTAGAAAGATTTGCGATTAAGTTAAAGAGTTCTTAAACTAGTGCGAACTAACACATTATCTTCCTCTAGAAGAATACAGATAACAGTATATCGCTTAAATATCTATCTACTCAATATACCCTTATTCAATAATTTCCCTTACATATTTATCACAATCAACATATTCAAACTTCGCTTTATTTTCGTCAAGAAAAGCTTCATCACGAATGCATTCTCTTATCATAGCTAATAAATAGGTAATTGAATGCAACTCAAGTCATTAAAATTAAAAGTCCAGTAGTCACAAATATCTGACTGTAAAGAGGTTAAAAACAAAGTTAATGCAATAAATTGATAACAGTAGGGAAAATACCTATGAAAAAGATGACTATCACAACAAAGTGACTAATAGTAAATAATAACAATAATAGTTTGCTTTACTGCAAAACAATGCTAATACTACAGCGTGGAACTCTCAGCATTTGGTACAATATTGCACCTAACTTTATCGAATTACAGGATTGTTAGTGGCAGTTCTTATTTTGCATATATATATATCCAAAAAATGTTAACAATAATAATAGTTAATAGCTAAGATTGTCAGTTAATTGAGTTGGTGTCAACATAGTGATATAATTCCTTTTTCAGAAGCCCGGGAAAGATTAAAGGGGAGCAGTTAAGTACAATAGGTACGATATACAAGTTAACAAATGATAAAAGTAGAGGTTGAGTGATTGCTTTAGTTTCGTAATGTAGTACTTTGGACGGAACATTTTCTTGGTCCGGCCGATAACTGCTACCTTGTTGTGGTGGTCGGGCTTGAATACCGTAATGACCCAACACGCTAAACTGACTGGGACTCTGTGCCTGCATGTCCTACCATGTCAGAAAGGTTGTTTGGATAGCGGTTAAACTAAAAGCAGTTACCATGGGGTACATGGACTCCAGTATACAATCGGATCAAATGGCGTATGAACCTATATGGGTCACCGGAAACCATGGGAATGCAGCTCCTGACGCTGCTCCGCTGCCCTGCGGATTAGACTCCAAGTCAAAGGCTCGAGGGTGGTCCCTTAACAAAACAACCTAATTCGGTCTGGGCCCCCGGGCAGTATCTCAGCCCTCACACAATGAATTGAATAAAGCAACAAACAATCAAGGAAACTTATTGCGTGCTATTACACATGTTGCAATTTTCTTCAGTCTTCCCTTACCGACGATAGTTAACGAAAACTGTTTTAAATTGTCAAGCATGACTGTTTTCCTTCCAGATGAAGTTCTTTATCCGTTCTCTACTTATATATATATATATATATATATATATATATATATATATATATTCATCTCTCTTTTTTCTTTTGATCTATGTTGTTTTATTATTATTGTGTGGCGCATCCTTCTTGGTTCCATATTGTACCAAGTTTTAATGCGTTTTAAATAAAATAAAATAAAAATAAAACATTTTCTTGGAGATCGATTAAATATGGGATGATCAAGTAAGGTCAGAGGATAGAAATATACCAAGGTATTTTGTGCTGACCTAGTTTCTATTACAGTCCCCTCTATGCTACAAGCACCATGCGTATTGGCCAGTTATTTTAGACCATATTTATATCTAAAGGAGAAGTCAATAGTCTGGCATTTTGAGGAATTTAACGTAATACCATTTAGCTTAGACCAGTGACTGATGTCCGACAAAAAGCAATTAAGCTTACAACAGTTTGATCAGGACTTCATAGGAAGCGAGATGTTCAGATCGTCAGTCTATTCGACGAAGTTGATTTCATTAGAAAGAGGTAAGTCATGTAAGAAGAAAGGAGAAAAAGAAAAAGAGAGAACAGTACCCTGAGGAACACCAGCTTTAGTAAGCAAGACAGAATAAGATTGACCCTTATATACAGTATACTGCATTGTATTTGAGAAATAAGAATGCAACCGGTTAACAGCCCAGGACTCAGTTTGCGTCAAAGAAAGTTGTGTTGTGTTTCACTTAAACAATGCGGCGGCTACTATTTAACCATAACGTTTAGGTTGGAACATAGTAACACACTGACTGGTATTCAGGTATCAGGTTCTAAACTGTTAAAAATTTTTTTCTTAAGTAAAAGAATAAATATCTAGACAGTAATAATAATAATAATAATAATAATAATAATAATAATAATAATAATAATTGAAAATCTCACCTAACCAATAACCACACATTACAGAAGCTTGAATCCATTTCGGTGTAACGACATAACATCCCAAAGCAACTGCCATATATGTTTTCGGTGTACGAATCAATCGATTAGCGACTAAATGTGTAGCTTCTTCTGCTGAATCAACAATTTTACAATCAGGCAGTTGTAAGCATAACTCTGTCAGTGTTAGTCTTGATTCTAAATCTATTGCAGTGAATGTAATTCTTATATCTGTACAAATAGGTGGTAGCAGTTTACTTGTATCTTTTTCTGTAGATTCAATCTTTGAACCTGTATCACATCGAACAATACGATCACTAGTATCAGCATTCTTCAATGAAGACTCTTCAGCGATTACATCATCCACAATATCTTCATCATCCATACGAGTGAGTGATTCAGTGGTAGCGTCAGCATTTTCTTCAGTCTTACTGACAGGAATAATGTTATCATATTTATCATCATTAACATCTCCTTTCCAGTTATCACTGGACGATTTATCATCTAGTACATTACTGCCTATGTTAGAAGTAGAACTGTTAGAACAAATGTCCATAGTGACAGTTGACGTAGAATCCACTGGATTTGTCTCTACTGCTCGTCGTTTACAGTCCATAGCGTTATCTATAGGGCTAGTTGCTAAACGCTTACGAACAATATCTTCATTGGATTGATCTATTTGAATATTTGAATCACTACTAGGCGTCACTGTCGTTGTTTTTGTTGTCATTAATGCTGAAGTGATTTGATCTGATGGTATGTCAGCGACATCTTTATTTTGAATATTTTCATCATTCTCATCTGAAATAATCATCGGATGATTAACAGTGACATTGGCAGAAGTATAGGCACTAGAAGTAATATTAGTAGTACTGGTGGTGACTACATCTGGTTGTTGAATTGATAAATTATCCTCTTTTGAAGTTGTTTGATCATTTGACTTATTTACTACTGTCCCAGTTATTTCATTATTCTTAGTGTCGTTAGATAAACTGTCAGATGATGATACAGTTGACATTATGATATCATCAGAAATATTCATTGTGCTGACAGTGTCATTATTATTATTATCATTATTATTGCCAATAGGAGTATTACTATCACATTTATTAGTGACGATAGCATTTTCAGTTTGATCATGACTTCGGTTATTATTTGATTCACAATATGTCTACAAGAAAAGGAAATAAAGGAACGAAAAAGACTATAAGAATCTTAAACAATATCGAACACAAAACAACAGCATGATGAACAGACTTTCAATGGGTATTATTATACATTACAGACAGAAATATAGGCCATAGTCTACGCAAATTGTATATTTTTCATATCGCTTTTGTCACAACGAAAAGGAGATGGCTAATGATTCATTTTGACGATATTTTAAAGCTCTCTTGGGTATTAATCGAATTCTGTCTCAGTAAAAGTAACCACTAAACTCAACTACAAGGCACAATAGAGTTAGATGTGTTGTGAACAATATGTGCGATTAAGTAGTGAGGTTTGAGCTATACATCACTAAACGATATTTGTGTCCTTCAAATAAAAATACTACTAGGTGTTGAAGAGGGGGTAAATGATGACAATGACATGATCATCCAACTAGACGTGTGACTCACCGGGGCTAGACATTCAGTTTTAAGCAGTAAGACAAGCTATTTAATTCAATTTGGACTTTCCTGCTGATTTTTTTTTTGATTACAGCTTGATTCCACACCGTATATTTGATACAAATATGGAATTTTCAGCGTGGATATCGGTAGCCCAAAATTCGCAGGCCGACCATAGATATCAGGTGTGCGTCGGCGAGGGCTCGAACCTTGGACGATGTGCATGGTCGGCGGGGGCCCTAACTACTGTGCCACCGACGCACACAGTGAGTGATTGAACCGAAGTGCTCAGCCTCTTTTGAAATGTCGGCTCCCTGTGAGGATGCTTCACCGATTTGTGACGATTCAAACTTAAGTAAATCAGTGGAAATACTATCAGTCACTAACCTCGCCTAGTTTACTAGCTCGCTAGTTTTCTAGCCGGCCCCAAGCCCAGGTAAGGAGGGTTGGGCGTCGGGTTAGCAACCCATACCATAAAACAATTCAAACTGCTACAGAAACTTCAACACAGCAAAAATATTAAGAATACAAAAAACATAAAAAAGCAAACTTATTCTGCGCTGGAATCGGAGACACGAAATGACTCGGGTTGGTAAAAGCCTTCGGAAAGACGGTCAGCCGATGTGTCTTCTTTCAATGAAAGCAATAGTGAGAATGGGGAAGTGGAATGGACGTACAATCTACGAGGATGGTAAGACTGCCCAGATAGCCAAAGAAACGAGAACAAATGGTATAGAAGTGCTTGGAATCTGCGAAAGCAGATGGAATGGATGTGGACTATCGAAACTGTCAGCAATCCACTCCGGTCTGGTCACCCAGACGACAACCACGAGAACACTGAGACAGTGAGTGGTTATCATGATGTCACTAGTGGCAGCCAAAGCCCTAATACAGTGGGAACCAATCTTCTCCTCCAGGATCATGACAGAAAGATTCAACTCAAAAGGAAGGAGAGTTACAATCATCCAATGCTACACATAATGCTACAAACAACGCAAACAAGAGAAGCAAGAATTACACAGGCAACTAAAAACGGTAATGGACACCACCCTATATGGTGACATCAAAATCCCTATGGGTGATATCAATGTAAGTCAAACTAGGAGCAGATGATGCAGGAAGAGGACCCATCATGCGTCGAGATGCTCTCACTTGAAGAATTCCCGACCGATAGATGCTAACTTGACGTGGTGGGTCGGGCTTCCACATCGCGATGACCCAACAAGCTTCACTGGCTGGAACTATTGTTCCTGCAGGTCCTAACATGCCAGGAAGGTTGTTAGGATAGCGATTTGACTAAAAGCAGTTACCGGGATAGTGCAAGAATCTTTCTTACACTATGCTGGGGGGGGGGGCTGAGGGAGAAGTCGTACTGCTGGGGAACACGGATGTAACACAGTAAGGTGTTTCCCTCAGATGACCAGCATGCCAGTTATGCTCTCTCCACTCTAGAGAGAAGTGGTTAAAAAAGGTCAACCCCAAAAATTGTACATCCCGACTTACACTACGGCTCTCCGTAACCGGCGGTAAGTTACTAATACGGAACCAAACCAACAAACCAGTTCATACAGGCCGTATGTGACCGGCCTCAAGCAGTTGTCCCCTGGGCTCTGCAGTCACGCAACACTAATCCTCTTTCTGTTTCAGGTACCCGAAGAATCAATCAACTTCCACGATGTGGGCAGCCAGGAAGTAACATCCGCCCACACACTTCCAAAAGCACACGAAGCCTTCATGAGCACCATTCTCCTTTGTTCACATCACCTTCCTCATCTTGCTTTTCCACTGCGGTTAGTACTCTTCTGCAGGCTAGCGAGTCATCTTCACTTCACTCTGTGACCACAAACAACGGTGAGAGCCATAGAAACAACCCAGATAGCCTTTTAAAGCCACGTCGCCAACTTCATATAGGTGCACTCAACGTCAGAACCCTCTGCCAAACCGGGCAACAAGCATCACCAGCAAGAACTCTGGCATCTCGAGCCATGGATGTATGTTTTGTTTCAGAGACACACATGCAAGACCCGAATGTGATCATTCACTTAACCTCACCCAGCCAACAAGGTGAGTCTGTAAAATTCACTTTAAGGGTGTCAGGAGACCCCTCAGCTAGTTCGGGAGGACTCGCAGTTGTAGGAATAGCACCGAGTGTTAGGGCAGACAAATCACTTCTTGACTGGATCCCAGTAGATAGTCGTGTGTGTGCGGTCCGTCTGAATGGGTCCATTTAAAGATGGAAAGACGGCACTACCCGTCGTTGCCTTTTCGTAGTCTCCGTTTACGGATGAACTAAGAGATGACTTTTACCTGAAACTGTCTAATTTTCTGCAAAAAGAAAAATGTTCAGATATAGTTGTTTTAGCAGGTGACTTCAATGCCCAAGTAGGGAGCTAGTGCCAGACTGAGAAGTATGTAGATGGTACGTATGGAGTTCTCTACCAACGAACCGACAACGGTGATCGTTTTCTGCAGTTCTGCTTAGATAATCATCTGTTCCTAGTCAGCATTAACTTTAGGCACATAGAGAGACATTGTGGAACCTGGCGACCTACATCACCAAATCAACGCTGGGCTCAGATAGACCACATAGCCATGGGGTCTCCGCAACGACCGTGAACAGTGATGGGTGACAAAAGCGAAAGAGATGGAAAAGGCATCGGCGATTGGTGATACCAGATAACTATTTAGGCTTATCTGTCTGTCTGTTTTCGACATAGAACTTTGCACATATGTGCACCAGTCCAAGTCGCCACACTCCATTCCTTGTAGCACACAAAGCAAGAGAAGAAAGCAGAAGAAATGCATAGTAGAAACAGTAAGCAGAGGTGTGAGACAAAGGAAGAGTAATAACGAAGAACAAAACAGTTTCATTGGAAATCATAAGTCACAAGGAGTGGATGCATCTGCGCCAGCCATTGAAAACGATTTTGAGCCATGTCATCAATTCTTTCCACCCATTGGTTCTTACCATCCTGAGGACCCCAACCAGGAAGTCTACACCTTCCTACGTGGCTTAGACTAACTGTTGTGGATTTCATTGACTGGTTCGGCCATGTTTTGGTTTGACCGCCGCTAGCTTTTTTCCAGCCTGACCCTATATCGGCTAACATTGCTCATCGAGGAAGGCGATGACTAGGCTAGGCATACGTAACACATGTCCTAACCATCTCAGTTGATGTAATTTCACAACCTTGTCGATTGATTTCCCCTCCTTACCTAGCACTCAACCGACGCCTAACCTCAATATTGTTCATCTTATTATACCACTCCACACGGGAGATAGAGCGCAGGCACCTATGATCAAAGACAGCTAGTGTTTTTTCCATGTCTTCCACTCTCAGTGGCCAGGTCTCACAGCTGGCCATAAAGGAGGACGGAGTGGACTGATGAGCAGTACACATGCCCTTTGGTCGATAGACAGCCGGATATCACGTCTACACCAGAGACGGCGTAAACTGGGATATGCGAAACGAGCCCTCTGTGTCCGTTCTGAGATTTCGTCAGAGATCAACCCGTTGGCGTTGGCTGATGGTACTTCCCAAATAAGTGAAGCGGTCAACGTGCCATACCACTTTACTCCCTATTTCTAATCTAGGAGTCGGTGTAGTCCAGTCCTGTACCATCATTTTGCATTTGGCGGGAGCGTATCGCATGTCAAACATTCGGAGATCGCTACCTATCAAGGTGTGGAAAGTTCTATGTCAAAAACAGACAGACACTTGAAGAATTATTCGCAGACTTCGGCGCTTTCAATCATCTGGTGATCGGAGACAGTGTACAAACACAAGGATACTTACAAATCAACGTGGATTTCACCTGACCGGCATACCAGAAACTAGATAGACTTCATCGCAATACTGTTCAAGGAAGTGCAGACGTAAACAGTCTGCTGAACACAAGGTTGAGAGGGGGAGTAGATGTAGGCTCAGACCATCATCTAGTTCAAGGGATCTTCAAGATGAAGCTGAAATCCCTCGAAACAACTGGAGACAGGCCACTGTCATTCAAGTTCAACACTCAGAAACTGAAGGACAAACTACAAGGGATGCCTTTTAATATAGATCAAAGTCGGAGACACCACATGTTATCACCAAGGAATTTGTGTGGCAGAACATTGGAACTCTCCGAAGGCGATATACAAGCAAACGTATACAGCTGTTCTATGAAGAAAGAAGAGGCAAGACAAGGAATGGCTGTTAACGTACACCTACCTGGAAGCTAATAGAAGAGAGGAGGATTGTGAAAGAGAATATGACTCAATACAAAGATGGACAACAGAAGGTGGCACAGTGGTTAGGACTCTCGCCGACCATGCACATGGTCCGGGGTTCGAGCCCACACCGACGCACACCTGATATCTATGGTCGGCCTGCGAATTTTGGGCTACCGATATCCACGCTGAAAACTCCACACTTGTACCAAAAATACGGTGTGGAATCAAGCTGTAATCAAAAATAAATAAATAAAAAATGAGAAGCTGAGTTCATTGTACAAGTTGCTAAATAAAGAAGTGAAGAAGAGTGTCAGGAAAGACCAGATAACCAGGCTTTTATCGAGGAAAAGATCAACGCAGGTGAAACCTATGAAAGGTGTGCAAGGGAACCTACTTACCAAGGAAGAGAAACAAATAAAACAATCGGCTGATCACTTAAAATAACTTTTGAATCGACCACCACCTGCAACTCGTCCAGAAATACTACCGCCAGCAACAGCATGCACAGAACTGCCGGTCAGTGGACACCAATCCTCCAAAGAAAGCAGAAATCTTGAATGCGATCAAGCTACTGAAGGCAGGAAAGGCAGCTGGGCCAGATGGAATTCCTCCGACTCCGAAGCACTGAAAACGGACCCAGGGACTTCGGCAGATGTTCTCACACCATTATTGCAGAAGGCTTGGAAGAAAAAAAGGTCCCTACCGATAGGAAGAAAGCCTGACTACCCTGTCAAGCTACCAAAGAAGGGCGACTTAAGCCGGTGCAAGAATTGGGGTGGAATAATGGTCTTGTCCACGCCAAGCAAAATGCTAAATCGCATCATCCTGGAGAGAATAAAGGACGCACTGGATACAGAACTCCGTCATCCACCGGAACAAGCTGGACTCAGGAAGGGCAAATCATGTGCTGATCAAATTGCAGCTCTACGCATCGTCATTACAGGACAAAGTAGAGAATGTGGGCAGTCAAACATCTACCTCAATTTCATCGACTTCGAAAAAGCCTTCGACAGACAGCGTTGACAGAGAAGTTTTTAGGAACTGCTTGGAGGCTATGGCGCGCAGTGCCCAAGTCTTTATCAACCTCATCCACCAGCTACATGACAAAGCCACGTGTCAGATGATCCACAACGGAGACCTCAGCGAGGCATTTGAGGTGAATACAAGAGTAAGACAAGGCTGTCTGCCTATTATCACCGATGATATTGTTAGTTGTGGTGGATTGAATTATGCATCAGACTGTATTTGGTGAGTGAGAAGACAGGAATACGTTGGACCGATGAGAAGACTCTAGAAGATCTGGATTTCACAGATAATTTAACTCTAATGTCACATAAACTCGGAGACTTACAGGAAAAAAGCAACAAACTGGCAGAAGAGGGAGGGAGCGAAGATAGGATTCCAGGTGAATATAGGGAAGATAGGGGTGATGAAGACACCCACGCATCAACAGCAACAAATATGCAACCAGCACCAATCACCATCAAAGGGAGAGATTTGAAAGAGGTTACTGTCTGTCTGGATTCAACATAGAACTTGGCACCGAAGTGCAGCAGTTCGAGTTGCCACGTTCCAAATAGCACACAAGGTAGACAAGAAGATGAGTGAAGAGAATCAATAGAGTTTGACAAATATAAGAGTGAAACAGAATGGGTAATGGTAGAAAGGAATATGAAAGATTACAGAGACTGAATACATCTGCGCTGGCCATTGACAACGATTTTGAGCCATGTCACCTATTGTCTCCAGCCATTGATTCCTAGAGTCCCGAGGGCCCCAACCCGGGAGTCTGCATCTCCCTACCTGACTCAGTTTAACTGTCAAGGATTTCATGGATTGATGAGGCCATGTTTTTGTTTGGCCACCACTGGCTCTTTTCCAACCTGCACCTATATCAGCTAGCAATGCCCGTCGGGGGAGGCGGTGGTTAGGCATGCGCAGCACGTGACCTAGCCATCTTAGTCTATGTAACTTTATAGCCTCGTCGATTGATTTTCCCTCTTTGCCCAACACTCTACGCCTAACGTCAACATTACTTACCTTGTGAAACCACCTAACGTGAGACAGAGATCGCAGACATCTATGATCGAAAGCAGTCAACCTTTTCATGTCTTCAACGCGTATTGGCCATGTTTCAGAGCCATAGAGAAGGACGGAGCGAACTGATGAGCAGTACACACGTCCCTTGGTTGATAACCGGATGTCACGCCTACGCCAGAGATGGTGTAAGTCAGCGAAAGCAGCTCGAGCTTTTCGGATCCGTGCTGAGATTTCATCGCCAATCAGTCCGTTGGTGCTAATACAACTTCCCAAATAGGTGAAGTGGTCAACATGTTCTATCACTTCACTCCCTATCACTAAGTTAGGAGTTGACGTAGTCCAGTCCTGTAGCAGCATCTTACATTTTGTAGGGGCGAATCGCATGCCAAACATACGAAGATTGCTGCTCAAGGTGTTCAGAAGACTCTGCATTTTGTCAGCATCCTCCCCTAACAGGACTATGTCATCTGCATATTCTAAGTCCATAAGACTATTCCCTGGTAACAAGTCGATTCCTAAGTCATTACGTTCAGTTAAGGATACTTCCATCAGCATATCTATGATGAAGTTAAACAGAAATGGGGAAAGTGGACATCCCTGTCGGACACCACTGGTTGTTACCAATTCAGATGACAATTCCCCATAAGCCCTTACACGACTACGTGAGTTTGAATAGAGTGCCTTGATTAGTGCAATGTACTTTCTTGGCACTCCCTTCACAGTCAGACATTGCCATAGTACCTTTCGATCCACGGAGTCGAAGGCCGCCTTCAAGTCAAGAAATATGGCAATTGTTGGACGCCGAAAAGTGTGTCTATGTTCTAGAATCTGTCGAAGAGTGAAGATATGATCTATGCACCCTCTACCTGGTCTAAAGCCTGCTTGATTTTCCCTTGTCTGTTCCTCCCGAGTTCTGCTTAGTCTATGCATGATTACTGAGCCTAGGATTTTAGAGACTATGTTCGTTAGGCTGATCCCCCTATGATTATCACACGAGGACTTGTTTCCCTTCTTGAATATCGGTATAATAAGTGACTTACCCCAGTCTGATGGTACTGTCTCTGATTCCCAGACTTTGCCTAGTACCTCAGTTAATCTACAAACTAGTATGTCACCCCCATATTTAAACACCTCCAGAATAATTCCGTCGGACCCTGCCCGAGGTTACTTCCTTCACTTATCTAGGAAGCACAGTTCCAACCACAGGTGACAGAATGGATGAAGATGTCAAAGCTGGCTATAATAGGAAAGACAAGGTATACATTCATCAACCTGTAATCAGTTCGGAAATCTTCTGCACTGCACTCAGCATAAACAACAAGATTCAGGATTTCGACGCAAATGTTAAGTCAGTCACTTCTTCCATATGGGTCAGAATATTGCACCGCAAGTCACAAAAAGAATTTCCAACAGTTTACAGACTTTTATCAGCAGCTACCACCTTCTCTGGCTCCATGATGAAGATCAAATGGTAAACCAGAAAGAATTAGTAACAGGATACTCTGGCAACAAACTAACCAAGAGCAGATTGCTCAACAAACATGTAGGAGGAGATGGCGATGGATCATGCAAATACTGAGAACGCGCACCACGCCATCCAGCGGAGTCTCCATTGGAAGCGACGAGTAGGTTGTCAGTGCAAGGGTGACATGGCGATTTTGTGAAGAGGAAATGAGAGATTATGGGGGATTGTGGGCCTAGGCTAAAGAGGACAGCATCAAATAGAACAAGGCAAATATGTATTGTTAAAGGTATATGTTCCATTCGGAACCCAAAGGAACAATAATATTGAGACTACTACTCCATGAGGAATGCAGGTACAACCAGAAGACGAGTCCCAAACAGGACGAAAGGCGCATCCTGGATTCCATTGCTAGTCATCATCCAACAAAGTAATACATAACCTTCAAAGTCATTCTGCAGATTGAGGTTCAAGTTTATGCAGAAGATGATGTCTAGGGAGGGAACCAGATTAGAGAGCACAACCACATCAAAATCATCTATCTGAACTACAAATTTTACCTATTATTTCTACTTAGTACATATATATATATATATATGTTTATTGATATTTTAGTCAGTGGAGTCAAGTGACGATGTGTAATAGGTTTGGGTGATGCCATCAGATATAGGGTGTTGCAAATTGTTAAGTATGCAAAAATTATACAACATGACCATTATCGTTATTTTTCATATATCATCTTCTGCATCAAGCAGTTAATTAAACAGTAGCAACGCTAAAAGGTATGCATAATTGATAATCTACATAAATGACACTGAAATGAATTTGTAGCCACATAATGAAATTTGACTTACCGGTTGAACAGAATCCAAGTTTGTATTTGTTTGCAGTGTTACATTCTGAATCGTACTATCAACACCACTATTAACAGTTTTATTATTGTTACTAGCATTATCAACATCATCACCAATATTTCCCAGATTTTGTATATTTTCAGAAATTGGTGGGACTGGTTGTGTTTGTAGTGTATTACACGATAAATCTGCATCGAAACTATCGATTGTTGAGGTGTTTTGTTGTATTTCCTGATGATGATGATAATGATTATCAGAATTATTCTGATTGGTCAAGTCATGAAGTGAATGAATCTCTTTTTCAACTTCTTCACTTTTAAGACAATTGAGTTTTTCACCAAGATCACATGTACTCTCAGCATTATTCGAAGCATTTTGAGCAGTAGAGTACACAGAATTATGACAATCCATTTTTATTGTCGATATATCCTGTTCACTAGCTATAACATCGTGTGAACTATCAACTTCTACAGTAATATTAGTAGGTTCAGTAGAAGAAGTGATAGAACATGAAGGATGACTTGATTCCTCATTATCATCGATGTTGACTTTTGACTCATGACTAACTACTGAATAGGTAGTAACTCCTGAGTCGATATTATCATCGTCATCATCAACTGTTTCAACTGACATATTTGGCGTTCCATTATTATCGTTGGTAGCAATAGTGGGTATTAAAGGAGGAGGAACTGGAGGGTTGGATTCATTTTCTGGGATAGTATTTTGAGAATCACCGCCACCAGTTGCAGATGTTTCAGCAGCTGCACTCTTTATAGCAGCTAGCAATTCACGTTTTTGTTCAGCTTCTTGGAGAAGAGTTTCGTATCTTGGTCGACATGACATTGCAATTTTAATATCCTCTTCAGTCAACGCTGGTAACAAGCACCTAAAACAATTTTGAAGGGAAAATAAGCGTTAGCAGTAAACAAATCATTATCATCCGTAACAAGTAACAAAGGTTACAATACGAGAGGCTTTAGGCGATATATCTAAGAATTAAACTTATCTAAATCGTAGCTGAAAAGTAACATTCCATTAAATGGTTTGTCTTTTCATGTTTCATCACCTTTTAGGACTCTACAACCTTCAACCCTACGAAGTGCGTTTCCGTGTCACGTAATGTACAGGTATACAATGTGAGAAATGTAACTAAACAGTCATGTTACATCCTATGCTGACAACGACAGCTTGTCCGTCGATGAATCAGCCAGTGGTCCAAGGAAAACGGTCTTACTATAAACTCCTCCAAATGCCAAACAGTCAATTTCACCTTTAGGCATAAATATGACCTAAACAAACTGGTTAGTACTCACGAGGTGTGCAACATAGATGGCACTGAAATTGAAACCAAGTCGGAAATTAAATACTTAGGCATCATTCTATCTGCTGATCTCTCCTGGTCGTCTCATATCTTGATGATTTCTAAGAAAATATTCCCTATTACCTTCTACATCAAGAAGTTAAGACATTCTGGAATAACCCAACCCTTAATCCTACAATTCGTTAACTCTCGCATTCTGCCTGTTATTCTCTATTGTTCCCCCTTAGCTTTTCCAGGGCTACTCAAGAAAGACTATACCTTATTACGTAGGATGTTAAAGGTTGTCAGCAGGGTAAGCAACGTGCCACTTAACCAGCTTGTTAATATTCTGGTTGACAGGCACATGGACTCATGTGAAAAATGAGCTAAATCCATTTTATCTAACTCACACCACCCTCTTCATTCACAGCTCTCCCCTTGTATCTCATCAGGCAAAACCAGAAGCCTATAGAGAAAACTAAATGCTCGCACTAGTAAGTACAAAAACTCAACCATGCCCTACTTAGTTTGTGTTCTGTGTGATAAAGAAAGCATTAGGCGTGATACCTATAACTTATTAAATAGTCAAATTCATATCTTTTATAGGTACAACGTTTTCATTCTTTCTTTTTCCTTTTCTTTCTCTGTTATGTGCTGCTTTGTTTCTTTCTTCTGCTTACGCCAGTAAATATACTAGCATCTACTTTTCTAACACCTTCAAACGCTCTGTTCAATTTTTGGCTTTGCTACCGACATGCCAATATGTTGTTGTCATAATGAACTGAGATTTCCTTAATCTATGTAGAATTTTATTTATTTATTGATAATGTACTAACTGGATGCAATACTGTAGTAAAATGCCGAGAATTACATTCTGTATCACAAGAACTGTTTTGGAATAAAGCTAATTATTATTATTACTAATAAGAATATGATAACTTAGATTGAAACGAAAACCCGAGTCATGATGGTTGATTTGAATTTTGCCGTCAAACAGAATTTGGTTTCAACTTTACTTATTAGTCTAATCAGTTAGACACTAAATACCTAGTACTGGCCACACTTACTGTGTGGGGGCTAATGATACTACCCAGTTGCCTGGACTGAAGTAAGTAAAGCAGTACTGGAGTCTGAGACCCACTGGTTAAAAGTCGAGTGCTTAAGCCAGTAGTGAGCAACATCACCACAACAGGACGTCACTGTCAGGGTGAGACGACAGACTATGTAAGCCTCTATACACCAGTGAGGATATAGGAGACAGAAAGGGGGAACCCCTTATTCTTTTGTTATCTAGTCTCTATATATCTAAAACACATAGAACGAAAGAAAAGAAAATTACTATGAAAATGAAGGGTGACTACACTGAAGAATAATAGAATTTGCTGCATTTATTCAAGAGAACTTACTCGGACTTTTTAACCTTAGCAGGACTGTTGTTACTATTGTTTTCAAGTTCAAGTTTTCTTTTTCTCTCACGTTCTTCATTTGCAAAATCATGAGATAATTTAGTAGAACGCTGGTAGGTAGAAGAAAAAAAAACCAACAAAAAAAAATGCTATGAAAGCGTATGTGGACAATGTTCTTTACAAATGAACTAAAATGATCACCTGGAGGACTTACTTTTCAATATTTACTACGTCCTGCACCGAGTCATATTTCATGCCATATACCTCAGCGACCACAGATTTAAACTTCTCTGTCTACACACATTTTCTGTCACACTTTTGAGTCGTCAAGGTAATTAATTGTCCCACTCATTTTTTTGTTCCACAATGCAACTGGCAATAAGTCATACCCACTGTGTGAGCCCCTAGTGATACTGACTAGATGCCCAGACCTCGGTAGATGGAGCAGAGTTGGCAACACGCGACCCTCTGGTCGGAGGTTTAACAGTTACGTACTGCAGAAACTTTTCAATTTGAAAACATAACTACGTAGATTTTATAGATCTTACAATATACAAAGAAAGGTTTTTATTGAAATAATTTGTTCCAATTTACATTATAAGCTGCTACGAAAAGTATTACAGACACATAACATTCTACATTAGTTGAAAAAAAACACATTTAGACGTCTAGTCACGAACACTTTAATATGAAATCCAATGAAACTCAAGTAATATCATTTCCTCATATTGAATAATGACTTCGTTATTATTAATAATATGTGTATATGTAAAAAGTTCCAGTTATTGATAACACATTAACGATAATACCTTAGCACACACACACACAGGCCAACAATACAACTGAGTTATACTTTATCCAATAGGAAAGACACAATACTTACTATCCATACTTCTTGAGTTAGCCGAATCGGTGTCTGCCATCCAACTACAAGAAATTAAAGAGAAAAAATAGTAATAAATACGATTATTAATGCAACAGCTGTATTGACATGAACAACAGAAAGACTAACTACATGAAGAATAGTTAAGATTTGATAGATATAAAAAATTACAAAGCGTGAATGTATCTGAGATAATTAAAGACAGCTTTTGAGCTTTGTCACCAACGGTCGCTGCCCCCCCACCCCCCACTAATTCTTAGCCTTTCGAGGACTGTCTCTCAAATCAACAGTTGGACTTCATGGGGTGGTCTCACATTTTTTTCTGACTACCACTAACTCTTTCCCAAGTTAATTCTATGTCATGTAACATTGGTGGGCGTGGTGGTTGTAGTGAAGGGGGCGGGGGCGACGACTTGGCATGCGTAACACGTGTCTTAGCCATCTTGACCGATGCAACTTCATTATCTCATCGACTGATTTCCCTCCTTAACGAACACTCTACGGGTAACCTCCTTATGACTTTCCTAGTAGATTACGATGTCATTTTTCAGTCAATAACATACTAGTTAGAAAATAAATAATGAAGGATGAATAAGGTTGGATAGCCTCTTGTGGGGTAGCAATAGATTCGACTTATATCAGTGAGATTTAGGCACTGGAGGGAACCATGCTTTTAGATTTCCAACTTACACAGAGATGACCTCACCAACACTATCGAATAATGCCGTTAACAACAAGTCTAATGGCGGTAGAGAACTAAATCTGTCTAAAGCAAGGTGGTTTCTAGGACTTTATCATTTTTGCGCTAAGCTTGTTTTTGATTTTGCTTACATTTTTACTCGCCAAGCACTTTTCTCCAAGAGGCTAACAGTTCATTTTTCCTTTTAATACACATAAAAAGAAATTACGACATCTAATAGTGCAATCACCGCTGTTGTTATGTCAATGTAGAAAATAAATTAGAAATGAGTTGACTTTTCTAAAAGCCAATTTACCATAGTGCGTCGGTGACACAACGGCAGAATGCTCGCCGACCACACATGTGGTCCGGGGTTCAATCTCCAACCACCGACACACTCCTTAACCTCCCTAAGCCAGTAGTAAAACTTGTAGAGAGGGAAGGGTGGGGATGAGGCTAGCAACCCCATCCCGCAAAAATAAACACTACTGCTACCGAAATCGCAAGCCTTTAGCTTGAAGCCCTATGTTCCACTGGGAACGTAAAGGAATCAAAAAAAATTTATCATAGTAATCATCATACATAATAATAATAATATAACAAAACAGAACAGTAAAAACTAGTACGACAATACTTACCCATCAAATCTTGTACACGTGGAGTACATCGTTCTAATGACATTGTCACATCAGATGTTTCAAAGCATAAATATTTATGAGGCATTGCTAATGACAGTGTGTGCAAGTCACCAAAATAAAGATCTTGTAACCAGCGCATATTGATACACGGTATACCCCAGAGTTGTGCCATTTCATATTTTTTACCTGAAGGTCTAAGAAATAAACACATAATTATTCAATGCTTAGAAAATTGCAACAAAATGATATTATCAACCAAAAAGAAAAACATACCCATTCTGACTAGTTATGTATAATTTAGTCAGACAGTGAGCTGTAAACTAAACTAATGTCAAGTAATTGTACTTAGATGAGCAGCACAAACATAAGTTGTTTTTTTTTTAATTATAGCTTGTTTCCACACAGTATTTTGGTACCACTATGGATTTTTCAGCACGTGATATCGGTAACCCAAATTTAGCAGGTCGACCATTGTGCGTCGGCTGGGGATCGAACTCCGGACCATTTGAATGGTCGGCAAGCGTCCTAACCGCTGTGCTTCCAACGCACAATTGCTTAACTTGAGGCATCGCCGAGAACTGTGAGGCGTATTTTCTACATAAAATATATTTTTAGGCAGCTATCTCGAAGTGTGACATTTTACAGCTGTATTTCATACATTCCATTACAACCTTCTTACTAATTAGTGTGTACCTCAGTTTTACAGTAATTATTAGTTAAATAAGAGGTTATTAGCCTCCGTCTAGTAGAAATGGATTATTTTAGACTTGTGGAGAGTACAATCCATTTCCACGAACGGAAAGAAATTCAAAATCGATTCATCATGATCCACTGACTCCAGTAAGTCGACAAAAGATATTATCAACGCAGAAAAACTATCAGTGATCAAACTTGAAACTAATCAAATTCCTACAAATGAACACTTGAAAATTAATCTGATGCTCAGTACAGGATGAAGTTGTCTGGAATTTAAGTAAGAAGTCGTGACCGCTGAGGTCCAACACGTCAGTTGTGGTGACAAATACTCACCGATGACATTGGCTGGCGATGACGTTAAATTTCGCAAAATGACAGAGGTTACGATTTACCAGTCATCAGATTTAGTCCCAGGGGTTGAATGGTCAATGGGCACGCCTCGTAACTTGAAGGTCCTGGAGTTCAAACTCCATTGGGGTCATAAGAGTCTATTTTTTTTTTTTTATTTTTGATTTACAGCTTGATTCCACACTGTATTTTTGGTACAAGTATGGAATTTTCAGCATGGATATCGGTAGCCCAAATTTTGCAGGCCGACCATAGATATCAGGTGTGCGCCGGCGTGGGCTCGAACCCCGGACCATGTGCATGGTCGGCGAGAGTCCTAACCACTGTGCCACCGACGCACACTGGTGAAGAGTTCCAGACTAGGACAAAATAGTTGTCCAGTACTCTCTGATATTCAGTGGTTCTCTGACTGATATTAATCCATGATCAAAGCTCGATAAGGTTTTTATATCATAAAAGGTGAATCAGTCAGTCAATCAATCAATCATACACATTCTTCCCCAAAAGTCTTATGAAGACAAAATATTAGCCAACCAAACTGACACACTAGTGTCACGACCGTTCCTTTTCACGCTGCATATATGTTCATTGTAAAAATAGTGTATTCGTTACCTCAATATAAAAGGATTGGGATAAATCTGGAAATTATTATCGGTGAATATTTAAGAAGTATGTGTGTAGAACAGGATAAAAAGCAACCCATAAGTTGATCGGGAAAAGACAGTTACAAGAATGTAAAATTCTAAATAAAAACAACTTACTGTTTACAAACTAAGAGCGTATTAGATGGTTCAAGGTAATCAGTAAAAGTGGCGCCAATCTGACGTATGATCACTTCAATTTTCTGACGATCTTTGCCCTCAAAGCCAGTCAATGATATAATCTGAAATGAAAAATTAGTTGGACTATGAAAAGAAATGTTTGGGAAAAATAAGTTTGACGTGGGTGTTACTATGCAGTAGTAGTCAGTCCTACATCATATTCACATATCAAACACAAGACGAAATTATCGTTTCCTATTCTGTGAAAGGGATGAAGTAATCCCAGGACACGCAGATCAAAGCTGACGTTTATTTTAAGGGACTATTCCATAAGCTCTTTTACTTTAAGTCCGATTAACAAAGCAGCACAACAAAATTAGGAGATACATCCCTATGACTGACTAAAATACGTGTAGACACCACTTGTTTATTTCGGATTGTGAAATTTATAGACATCAATGGTTTGCAGTCAGGTTTTTAAACTCTCGAAGTGAACCTTTCATGTTTATCTAACCTTCGTAAAGGCGTCTTTAAACTTGCAGAAACATGCAGTGCACATGTTTGTGGGAACTCGATTCTGAGATTCAACAGTTAGTACTCCAATCCTGAGGAGTCATAATCCCAATTAAGTTCATGTATCGACCATCATTTAGCACTTCAGTGAATTTAATACATCTTCAAAAATCTAAATGTATTTTGTGAAAGTTAGCAGACTAGAGAATACTTAGCTATTCGGTTCACGAAATACCTAATTTTCTGCAGACTGTATATGTGTGTTTTAGCAATGAGTTTAAAAAGGTAAGAGATTTCCAAGTACAGACACAGTTTTCAACTTTAGATAGAATAGATTTGTTTAGAACTTAAGACTGAGGAGAAAAAGCACACATACATACACACAATTTAGATTAGATCAATTCTCTATCATCCAGTGACCAAGATTCCAACAATAGCAACCATGATCACCGCCTGCCTATTTATAAATACTTTCTAAATAAGGTGTAAAAAAACAAAAAAACACTCGAATAAACATCAAAAAAAACCCATAAACACATAAGAAATCTAATTATACCTGAGAACGAATAAATGAAAATGTTATTTCTTTAGAAAATGGGGATGGTAGGTGTAGAATTTCAAATGGTGGAATCATTCTACCCTTTGCAAGGATATCATTGACCCAATAAATAGTAACTAAACGCTTTTGATCTAATAAGGCCTGTGAAAAAAGAAAGAGAAAAACGCAACATTTTGATCAAACTGTTGATAGATGGAATTATACATCTATACGAAAAAGGTGAACACATATAGCTTAAATTTCATATAGCATTGGATAAAAAAAACGAAATACAAGTATAAAATTTAAAGTAATTAATTCCCTTTATGAATTTCGACACAGCGATAAGAAGACGTAATTTGTCTGAATCGTGTAGTATGCATTTCCGCAACACATTTCTAACAATCTGATCACACACTAACTTATCATAGGAATATATAATATGAAAATAACAAGGAGTTACGAGGTGAGGAAATAGACTTAGGTTAAGTTAAAAGGATATATTTATTTTATTGCTTTCCATTCCCAGTGGAACATAGGGCTTCAAGCTAGAGGCTTGAAGTTTCGGTAGCAGTGGTGTTTTTATTTTTATGGCATGGGGTTGCTAGCCTCATGCTCGACCTTCCCTCTTTACCAGTTTTATTACTAGCTTAGCGAGGTAAAGGAGTGAGTCGGTGGCTGGAGATCGAACCCCAGACCACATGTGTGGTCGGCGAGCATTCTACCTCTGTGCCACCGACCCGCAAGACGACATATCGAAGGTCAAAATAACAGTGAAGATCACTAAACCAAAGAAGGGAGGTAATAGTACATCTGCCTTGGTATGTAACAAAACAAAGTTTACCATGAAAGCTTTAGTGTGATGACGGATTGTTTTGGAACGCATCAAAGTGGTTTAAACTTTCTAGGGCTTTCACAAACTTTAGGATACGCCCCAAAGACGTTTTAAAGAAAGGTTTAAAAGACGTCTAAACATCAATTTTATGTCCTGTCTCTACAATATGTTTCGCAGTAGAGCAGCTCGATCTTCTGTTCTCACTACTAATGGGTTCTGGGGATTCTGCTTGTTTATGAAACCATTTGGGGAATATAAAATGCAAACAATAATAAATATTCAGGGAATCCAGTTCACATGCCAAAATTTAAAAAGGAACAGTAAGCGAAATCGGTAATAACAATAGTGACAAATGAAATACGAAAAGGATAAATAGATAAAGAGAACAACTTAAATTCTTAACACAAATAAGATGCGAAATAAAAATAAGAATGCTTACTAATATTTAAAGCCTTTTAAGCAAATATCATACTCAAAGTCCATTATTGTAGGCTATTTCTCATATACTACTAAAATACCTCTATTACATGCAATTCCGTATCGATTCACTACAGTAAGGCATCCAAATAAGTCCCATAACCAGTATGCCTATTCCTGTTACATAACAATCATATGCATCACAATGTATTTGGCAATGAGCTACATGTATGATGTGACAGTTAGTTATACTAACCGAGAATGTCTAGACCACAGTAGATAGACTGACTGGACTGTCAATGCAGAACTTTGTACAATAGTGTAGCATTTCAATCAGCCATACTTTAAGGATGCGCGCAAACAAACGTAGAGAAATGTAATGCAACTACAGTGGACGAGTTCCATTGTGGGTAAAATTTATTTTGATAAAGTCTCACAGTGTTATACAGTAATATTTACTGATGACGTTTCGAGCGCAATTTATTGTTCATAATCATATCAAGGTGCTCGCACAACTTTCTAACTTCGTTTATATAATCCCCGTTAATTTTTACTGTATAACACTATGGGACTTTATCAAAATAAATTTTACCCACAATGGAATTATACTCTACCACAGTGCACAAGTTCAATCCTTATATCTACGATTGACGAGAATGCACGATAAAATATATAACTAAATGAAGATTAGTGGGGATTTTCAGAATCCGGGAGGTCACAAGGAGTGAATGCATATGTGACTTGAGCCATGTTACCACCCATCAGTTCTTGTTATCTCGAGAATCTCAAGCGAGGCGATATACACCTCCCACAACAATCAAAAATGAAACACACAAGCTGGATGGAATGCATAAACTTATGTCTAACAACGTACTTCCAATTCAACGGACGAATATATGAACAAGTCAAAGGAACACCCATGGGATCGCCAATATCAGGTTTGATTGCAGAAGCAGTGATGCAAAGGCTCCACAACATAATTCTACCAAAGATCAAACCCAATATTTGGATACGTTACGTCGACGACACATTTGTAATAATCAAAAGAAACGAGTTAGATAAAACTCACAACTTAATAAACAACGTCTTCAACGACATCAAATCCACAAGGGCAGAGGAACCGAGAACAAAATCCCATTTTTGGACTTCTTAGTCAACCGAACAACCACAGGGGGATTAGAAACTCAAGTCTATAGAATATCAACTCACACAGACCAAATCCTGAATTACAACAGGAACAACCCAATAACACACAAAAGGAATTGTATACAAACACTATTCAAGAGGGCAAGGACTCATTGCAGCACTCCCACTTTAAGGAAAATTGAAGAAAGATATCTCATGGACGTCTTCCAAAAGAATGGATATCTGCGAAATTTCATCAAAAGACATATACCCTCAAGCCAACTTATCAAACCAAAGGCCCCCGAGGAAAGCACAAAGAAAATCACCCTACCATACACAAAAGATATCTCAGAAATCACCGCAAGACTCTTCAAACCTTTAGGAATTGACGTCGTACACAAACCAACAAAGTCACTTCACTCAATTCTACGTCAACCAAAAGACTCAACAGCTAAAGAAGATAAAACCAACATAATCTACAAAATAAATTGTAACAACTGCGAAAAACATTACATTGGACAAAGTGGACGTTCCATTCGTCTTCGTATCCACAAACATGAGCTAGCCAACAAAAGATATGACATCCACTCCCTCACTCACATCTCTGTTCGCATACAGACAACCACGGACAACAATTCGACTGGGACAACGTTCAAATATTAGACAGAGGAAACAACAAGAATGTTAAAGAATTTTTAGAAGCCTAGTATTCCAGTGAATCATCAGTCAATAAACACATCGAGATAGACAAAATTTATCAACCGATAAGAAAAAAACCTCACACACAAAGGGTCAAAGTTCAAGTCAAAGAAACAATCAGTTCCAATTCAAGTAACTTAGGTATGAAAACACACAAAAACAACTAATCATGCCCAAGGTCACCGGGAGAGATGATTAATAAACTCTTAGAGAAATTTAAGAACTCACTTCGAATTGAAGTATGCTCTGAAGATTTCGCCTAGTAGGGCGATGAAAGCTTCGCAAATTAACTATCCAGCTTAGAGAACACATCAAAACCAAAAACATTCTCCTATGTAGTTCATAGGTAGGTTAGTAAGTACAATCGGACTCCAAACCATAAGCAAATGACTGAAATTCGGATGTTTAACTCAGTGAGCCAACACCACAGAGCCACTAATAAACATACAGATATTTGTCAATATTTCGAGTCTTTACTGGTAAAGTAAACTATAGAACGATATAATCTCCGAAATATGCAAAAATCCCAGTCATTTCAGTCAAAACAGCTTAATAATTTAGTCGGCTAAATAGAAGTTCACCGACATAAAATTATACAACTGCACTAATTATCAGTTCAACAGTAACTCTACATTGAAGACATTATTCACTTAATCATTCTGTCATTTCATATCATTTACGTAAAACACCAAACTTGTTGGCGGCTTGCTTAAAATTTAAGCCACAGTAAAGTTTCATCAATACATTGCATATAATTTCAGATTGTTTAAATCTAGTAAAATATAACCTCTAATAGTATTGTTTACTCTAGTGAGTATTTAAAACATTTAGAACCCGCTGATTCTCAAGTTTCTACTAAAAATGTGAAAAAGCATTATCATCGAAGGCAGCTTATACCGTTCCTGAGTGGTATCCTTGGTTCACAAAATGTACTCTTGAACTTCCTGTTCATTCAACAGAATGTTGTCTATTTTTCGAAGGAGAAAAATGAGAGATAGCGTAATGGATAAGTTTGCACTTCAGGTCAGATAGAACTGTGTCACATGATCTACTGTCAGTCGAATATTTTATTTGAAGATCCTGAACGAAGAGGAAATATCATTCCATAAACTCCACTGGGAATTCTGTACATTATATTCACAATGTTCAGAATAAAGCTATTATTATTATTATTATTATTATTGAGCCCAATAGGGCAACACTCCTACTTTGCTTAATTACAGTCGAGGGAATACATTGATAATCTCAAAAGTCACTAAAGAATGCCTATTTTCATACTGTATTAAATCTGATATTTCAAAGAGAACATCATACAAGTAAGTCATACAACTGATGTACTTTGCTTAGTCACTAAACTAATCATTTTTAAGAACTAAAGCATTGATTTTAATAAGAAAGAGTATCAGTTTGACTTAAATTTGCTCATACACTGCTTTATCGGTATAAAAGTTATAAAACTTATAGTGCAACGAGTTGCTTCATAGTATCATAATGTGAATGCGTTCCTACTTCAATAACTCGAATTTATAAAACACGTGAAACTGAACTAAACTGAAAAGCTTGATACCACAAAGAAAGTCATCTTAGCATACGAAGTAAATAATATAAGCTCCTAATTAGGATATTTCACTACAATGAATTCTACTAAAATCCTGTAACAAATCTATCAAGTCCCTACAAACCAATACTTGAATATCAATGAGATGCTCACTAGCTACTGGTCCTATTCAGATAGGTAATTACCTGGGGTTCTAGTGGGAAGTCGTGACCAGTAGGGTGCAGCAGGTCAGGCGTGAAAACAAATACTCGCCACCAATGACATTGGCTAGTGGTCACGCTATGTCGTGAATTGGCAGAAGTTGGAATTCATGGACTGGTCAGTGGATCGGCGGGTCCCAGCGGCCTAATGGTCTACAAGCTCGCTAGTCTTGTAACCAGAAGGTCCTGAGTTCAAACTCCGGTGGGCGCATACTGATGAAGAGTCCGAAGCTAGGGTGAAACAGCTGTCCAGTAGTCCCTGCAGGTTTTCCAATAGTTCTCTAGCCAATGTCAGCTCATAATGAAATCCTGTAACCAATCAATCAAATCCCTACAAACCAATATTTGAAAATCTAACCATAATTTGATAGCAAAAATATTACAGATCAAAAACACAATGCAGACATATTATTACACACATTTGTATCATACGTCTTTTTCAAACTACCACAAAGACAGGGAGAAATCAAGAATGAAAAGTTAAGCAATAAGTTTATGAATTTAGATATGAATAAGCATTACAAGTGAAGCTGTTTACTTAGTTGCCAGTGTGGATAAAAATAATCTATGTCACCAATAACACAAAATAAATAACATAAACTTTTAGCATAAACTATCAAGAAGACATAATCATCATTGCCTCTTCCTCCACTACTATCATTACCATGTGTAGACTGAACATGTTGTAGAATGTCAGCTCGACATTGTGGATAACGTTTTAAAATACAACAAAGTCTACAATCGAATACACGTTGACTGCATGAACACGATTTCAACTGACTTGTAGTAGATGCATCCTCTGAAATCAGTGATGCACATGACGATTTATTATTGGTGGATAATTTCACCGTTGGTGTATTCTTAAAAGTGCACAAACAACACTTTCCATTCGGTATAGCATTTTTAATACCAATTACATCAGTTATTTTAAACAAATAACCATAAAATAAAGATTTTGCTTGATTGCTAGGCAGAGATGATTGTGTTGTGAGCAGTGCAGATGGCAGACAGTCAAGTGAATGATGCAACGGAACCCTTTTGAATACAGGAGAAACTGATAATGGCGTTGGTGACTGGAGAGTTGCAAGCAATTTTGAACAGTAGAATGAAGACGTAAGATCACGATTAAAACACTTAATTAAACCTTTAGACGATGATGGCGGTAAATGATATGTGAAGAAAAGTGACGGTTCACTACAACTGTGCACAGATGAAAGATTTGAAGAGCTAGACACTCTGTGCTGTAATCTACCGCGTTTCATACTACACTGACTGCTACCGACATCATCATCATCATCATTATGATGATCACGAATAATCATTTGTTCTGAGTTCTTATTCACAAACTCATAATATCCAACCGAATGATTACACGCTTTATAATAGGATGACTGACTCGATTCGTGGGATAACCGATGATCAGTTTGAGAAAAACTATTATTTGACAGTTCAATATCATACGTCATAGAATTAACATGATAATGAGGTGATTGACGATGCACAGTAGACAAACAACTATTGTCAAAGTTATCATTTTTGTCATTTTGCCATTTTACAGCATTCTCCGTTTCAGAGTAGTCACTCAATAACTCGTCATCATTATCACTACATAAAGTACGTGAAATGAGATTTATGTCAGTCGGTGGGGAAATTAAAGTTGATGTTGTCCTTGACGATAAACATGGTAAAAATGTTGATACTGACAATTTATTCACACAATCCTGTGGATAAATAACTATATTTACAACATTATGACAAATACAAAGATGTTTTTGTTGTGACATGTTAACTTCTCCAGGATAATTTTTACACACTGAAATGGATGGATCAGGTGAATGGTTATTTGATGTTTTAAGGGACAATGATGATTCATCTAGCATTCTTATAGCTTCTAAATTATCACCAGATTGGGGTAAGTAAGGTGATAAAGATTTATCAACATCTTGAACATTTCCTGGAGAATCATACGATAAAGAATCGTCGGATAAATATTCATTAGATTGCTTGATTGACTTCGAGCAATCGATCAGTTCATTCGGTATACACGATGAGGTACAAATAAAATTGTTAAATTCTATCCTGCTAAAAGACATAGTTGAATAACTGTTACTCGTATTATTATCATCCCTGTTATCATTAACTTCATGATTCACACTAACTTCGTTGTTATTATCACTTCTACTATTGTATTTATCATCTATACAATCTTTACTACATCGCTCTAGTTCATTCAATGGTGCGTGTTGATAATTTGGTGGTGTGGGATTGCAGTAAATGTCATCCCTCATAAAATCCTCTTGAATTACTTTATGTATTATAAAATCTTTATTTGACAAATGCGAGTTAAGCTCTTCAAGATATAAACTTTGTACACATAAATCATCCATTATGTCTGAATAACTTCCACCGTAGCGTTCATCTTTTGAGTGTAAATATGAACTTGGGAGACTCTGATCAAGCAAAAGTGACGAATTTTTAAACACAGCATATTCCTGAGGTATACTTCTTCTCTTAGATAATAAGAATTCTGGGGGGTATTGCTTGAAATAAGTATCTAAACGACGTTCAAGCAATTTTTTATTTGATATCTTTTCATCAAAAGGACGAAATGGTGATAGATAGGAGATCACATTTGTTTCATGCAGCAAATTGCGTGTACGTATAGACTGTGATACACATTCAATGGGATTCGCACAATGATGAGATGGAATATCAAGTCGATGATGACAATTATTTATCCATGATTTTGATGATGGTGGCGATGAAGATGGTATTACAAATAAACTACACTCTTCTGTTAGACTGTCTTCTTCCTCCTCTTCTTCCGCTTCATCTTCATCCAGGACATCATATTCATCATTATGAAAGTAATGGGTTGGTTCTGAGGCTGTAACAGAAATGCTGCCTTGATACACTGAATTCCTGTCAAGGCTATCTACACTTCTATTTCCTTCGCCTCTACTGTCAAAGGACTTGCATGATTTTAAGTTATTATAAGGACAGTTGACCTTAAATAATTTCATGAATTTGAGGTTAAATAAACCGGGCATTTGCCTAAAACAATTTTAACTCATATATATATTAAAGGGATAGTCTTTCAAAAGATAACCGAGATCAATAATGAACTGATCACATGACAAAACATAATTTGTTTATGCAAGGACTTCTAAGTACAGTATACATATACATAGCGTGTGCTACTGATAAGATTTATTAGTAGTTTATAAAGAGGCGTTCATCAGCATAAAAATATCAAATAGCATACAGATTGATTTGAAAAACCAACCAGTGTTGCAGCAGAACATGGAAGACACGAAAAGAAGATAGAGAAACACAATACGAAGGGCAGAAGTAGCACAGTACGGAAGGTCTGTCAGGAGAAGGATTTGGAGATAAGGTGTACATAATTTTGTTATATATTTAGGTTAGACATTCCTTTACCAAACCTCGTGCCTTCTACCGTTACATATATATATATATATATGTTGTGCATGCCACATCAAAAGTTTAGTTCCTCGTCTTATGTCAAAGAAAATATGGTTGGGCTGGAATAAAATGGGCGGAGGGTGGTCAGAAATATACCTGACCGAATCATGGAAAATTACGGGAAGCATATGTAAACAGCAGTTAATAGATAGGAGCTTCTGTGATAGCCAGGCGACTACGTAATATGCCCCTATTGTATTTCAGTCATACTTCTTAAGTTTCTTTATCTTCTTCACTCCTCTTTTCCAACATTATTTATAACTAGTAGTCTCCCTTTTTATTGCTTTTTAATTTCTGTGTAAAAGTGAGGTGTGGTGACTTGAAACACAACATAGTAGGCAAATTCTTATCTTGAAAATGGATAACTGACTAGATTCGCCAGACAGATACAACCAATTTTAAAAGTCACTAGTCACATTAGAGATAGAGTTGAAGTTTTGAAATTAAAGGAAGTAGATAGGAATAAGCTCCGTTACCCATGTTATTTTCTATAAAAAGTTAGATGCAAACGAGCCAAGACACAATAACAGTAAGGGAAAACAAAAGACCATTAGGCTTTCAGGAGGAAACACGATGATATACATATGTACCACAACGACTCCAATTCATTCATTCACTCCATAATACTAACAATAAAATTAACTTTCTATTGAAGCGCGTCGGTGGTTCATCAGTAGAACGCACACCAACCACTCATGTGGTTTGGGATCCAATCTCCTGCCGCCACACTCCTACGCCTTGCTAAGCCGGTAAAGAGAGAAGGTTGAGCGTGAGACTAGCAACCCTACCACCCAAAAAATAAACATACTGCTACTGAAACTTCAAAACTCTAGCTTGAAACCCTATGTTCCACTCGGGACGTAAAGGAATAAAATAAAAATACAAAAATTTTATTGAAACTAATACATGAAACGCTCAAAAAGTAACACATTTGCCTGAAAGAACCGGCTACAACTTTATCGATAGCACCTGTATCAAATGTGACCAGATAATTGAAGTCAACCGTTGTAAAAAAATTATCATTTACAAACAAATACTAAACTTCAAGGAGCCTAAATGAGAACATGAGACAAAGTAAGCTACGACAATAGATAAACACATACGTACCTGTTTAATTACATCAGGTTCTTCTAATTGACAGTCGATAACCACGTGAGTAACACGTGTAGGATCATACGCTAAAACTACTTCTGCACCGTGTAAACGCATAACCCGCCTCCAGACAACTTTCTGTGATTCAGGCACACTTCGATAACCCAAAATTAACATAACACAACCAATTAAGCATTCTTCAGGACGAGAAGGCAACGGATTACCATCATGGCCATGATACGCTGGAGTTAACTGCATAGGTGTCATAAGTGTTGGTGTATTTTGTGTATTTCCAGGCGTTGAATTGCACGTAATCTGTCGATTAACAGATTGTACAACTGTAGTAACAGGTATTTGATTAGGACGTGGTGGTGTTTGGACATTTGCGCTAACAGTGGTAGCAGTTGAAGAATGACTATGTGATGGCATGGGTACAACTTGTGGATGTGTAGGACGTGGACTAATCGAGTGATCAAAACCATTACCATGTACTAGATTAGGAGTTGCTACATGATGATATGGTGAATGTATTGTATTCGTTTGATGATGTTGATTTGGAGCATTAATCACACTAACAGAAGATGAATCACCAATAATAACCTGAGTATTTTGCCTACCAGCTGACTGAGCATATACCATCTGATGATTAGGTTTCGACTGTTGTCCTGTGATAATTCCACCTAAAATAGGAGAGGAAAACGGTGCATGAATTACTAACTGTTAGAATAGATGTAATTATCACTTATCTTGGGAAGAGATTAATATTTACCGATAATTAAAGACTAATGAAATCATATGGCGAAAATTCTGAATAAAAGAACATTTTCATACCAATGTCCACGACTTCTTATCAGAATTTTTTAGGTGCATACTGATTTCCGATACCGTCAGTTTAGAAGAAGTGAGATTTTGATTCTTAATACTTGACGAATTTTATTCAAGAAGACAATGCAAAAAAATGTTCACGGTGAAAATTATACACCAGCAATGAAATCAGAAACAACGAAATCCCTCTCTGCCTAAATGGAGGTATAGGTAGATGAAGGGACAAAATTGCTGCAAACAATACTAACTCAACTTAGACACCTTACCTAAGGTATATAGGAGACTATGAAGTCTGCACGACACACAAACGACTTATAACACTAATCCGACCTTCAGAACAAAGTTGGTAGAGCCGGCTTTCAACTGAGAACCGACTGTATGAAAACTGAGTACATAATTCACCTCAGTGGAAATAAAAAAATCCTTACATAGCTACGTGTGCACATTATGGGCATATATATATTATATAAACATTTCAATAAATTCTCTATTTTTCCGTCAATAGATAGATTAACTTTACAACATCAACAACACATGTAGTGGAAGCGTCGTAATGTCGAAAGGAGTGGTAATAAGAAACAAGAAGCAACATTACTACTGCTTTGAATACAACTAAACTAAACATAATTGCTATTTGGTTTAGCTTCCATAGAATGCTTACCCATATACCTATAATTCATGCTCAACAAAGAGGGAAACACATACCTGAATGAACTTGTTGAGGATAAGTAGGAATTGGCTGCTGATGTTGCTGATGTATTGCTTGTTGTTGTAATCCATGTATAGAAATATTATTGTTATTCGACTGAGGTGTAGGACTAGTTTGAAAAAGAACTTTATTAGTCTGTGGTCGATTAGTCATTTGAGGTACAGGACGCTGATTTGTACTCACAGTTACTAAAGATGACTGATTTTGATGGAAACCATTCCCAGGTGTGTTAGCATTACCAGAACATGGTAAAACAGAACGCAAAAGCATGCCACCACTTGGTGTTGGATTATTTGAATTTCTTGCAAACTGTAAAACACAATTATAACATTAAATAACAAAAAAATTTTTTATAATAACCGACGCTGATTTTTAGATTTCAATATATAAATTAAAGTGATACGATAGTTGTTTCGTACGTCTTATACCGGAGTCATCCATATAGCAAGTAATCCACAAACTGCATACATAAATGTTTGGAAATCACAATATAAACAACAACTATTGTCTGAAAGTTGGTGAAAGAGGACTCCCACCTGCCAATAACCTTGGAAAACCCTAACAAATACAATAACGAATTAAATTTTCAAACCCCAAAATATCATGAAGCGTTTCAAAATCAGTAGGTAGATTGGGATTTTCTTATTCACCTTATAGTTTTCGAGTTAAAAGTTGGTATGATATAAGTGCATGTGAACACACATAATTACGGAAGACTACTGTCTTTAAGAAACCTGACAAATATCGAAATACTCGCACAACTGTGTTAGTCGCTTTATGACCTGACACACACAAGGACAGATAGACCAACGTAGAACTGTTGATAGAGGTGTGTCATTTCAAGTTATCACATATCGAAAAAGAAGAGAACACAAATGTAACGATGTTATCGTGAAAAATTGCGTGTAAAAATCAGTTAGTGTAGAGTAGTAAATATAATGGAATTTCCAATCATGATAAACAATAATAATAACCACATACTAGTATCCCGATGATCACAACCGTGCAACATATACCATCCTATACAACTGAAAAAAGAAGTTCAAAGATGTCTACTATTGCTGATTTACATCCATGAATAGCAGAAAAAGAACTACCGCGTAATACCTACTTTCTATGATGGTACGGAGTTGGTAAAATCATAACCATCCTATTTCACACATACTGAAGTTGTCCTAACAACCGATCTGCAAAGGCTGATGAAGCCTACCGAAAAGCTTAACTGATCAACACACTGCACTTCTTATCCATATACGAGAAGTCGGTACAGATACGCTGATACAGTGATCAAAACAGCAGATCAAAACTCAAAGCCCCATGTCCCACCGGGAACGCAAAGGAATCACGAAAAACTACAGGATAAAATGAAAATAGATATGATTGAGAGTGTAACCAATAGCATTTGGACCCCAAAACCATAATTGTCACGTTCGAAAAGTGTCCGGCAGCTATCAGTTATAATCAGCTACATAAGTGGTTAGATATTTTATTTAAGGCATCCATCAACGTTAAGAATTATGCCCTAATATTTAGACTCCAAAATAAAAAACGATGGTTTTAACGCTAACACTTCATAACACAGAACTAAAACCTAACGAGTTATTTTAAAACAAGGCAACTTACTGCATTTGGCACTGATTGATGTTGTGCAGCGATTATCTGTTGTCCAGTTGGTGACTGAAATATAATCTGTTGAGGATGTTGATTTTGATGTGGTTGTTGTTGTTGTTGCTGCTGCTGTGATTGTTGTGGTTGAGGTGTATAACAACCATGAATTGCTTGATATTGTGCGGGGATAGTTGCAGTAGCAGGTGAAAGTTGAATTTTTTGCTGTTGTGGTTGTTGTTGATGTTGTTGGTAGTGTTGTGCAGGATGTGTAGCTAACGAAGCAGAATACTGGTGTTGGATTTGTGGCTGTTGATGTTGAGGTTGCTGTTGTACATACTGACGATTATTCACTGACGGACGGGTAGGTGATGATTGTGTTTGAATTTGTTGTTGTAATTGTGACATTTTACCACCTACCATAGAAGAATGTTGAGATATTAAATTAGATGGTGACGATTTAATCTGATTTCCACTGGTATTGCCACCACCACCTCCAGGTGTACCAGTATTGAGGGAACTAGTATTATTACCTGGTGAATGCAGTGCGATATGAAGTTGCACTGACTGTTGTTGATGATGATGATGTGGTGTCGACGTAGGTGTAGTTGTTATACTACAGTTTGACTGACTAATCATCTGTTGTTGATGAGGTGTACGGTTATCAATTATCATTGCTGGTGTTGACTGTGAATTATTAATAGATGAACTGGCAACTGATGCAACCATATGATGCTGCTGTTGCTGATGATTTGTTTCAGATAATAAAGTTTGTTGAATTGGAGAAGTATAAGCTGTCGACTTAATCTGAATTAGTTGACTACCATTACCGACACCAATAGTAGCACTGCCACCACCACCACCACCATTTCCACCAGTAGACTGTAACAACAACTGTTGAGTTATTGGTTGTGAATTAACAGTTTGTTTATTATGCGAATGTGTTTGTTCAATAGCTGAATTATGTCCTGATTGATGATTAGACTGATATAAGTGATTTGATGATGACTGGATTATATTGCTAGCTGATATTTGATGAGGATTATGATTATGATGTTGGTGTGGATTATGATTACTTGTCAGTAGAATATCTCCACTACCATCTGAACTAATTATAGTAGCCATGTCAGGTTGTGCATCTATATTTTCGTTCTGTGGAACAAAAAAAAGAAAAGAAAACACGATGAATATGACAAAAAAGTAAGATACTTTCTCTTCATGTTAGTAATAAGATAAAGAATATAACTCAATTGGCCGAGTACATATTTTTCATGTGATAGACTATAATGAAGACACCAGGTTGGTCAGAAACAGAATATGCAGAGTTGGGTTCAAAAGTAAGATAATGTTAGGAGATCGAGTCTTCAAGTTAGTTAGCTAAATTTCCACAACGGTATTTATCACGCAACATAATATGTTGTAAAATGTACTCAAAGTAGCAGAAAAATAACCATCTTACATAGATAAATACGATTTATGATGTTACTCTACTGGCCTTTTAACTAAATTTCAGTCCAAAGAGTTACGCAGTGATCTCACGAGCCAACCATCTACTTTGAGCTAAACAACTAGATAGTTTCACGCAACACAAATGTGTATGAGGCTTTTAAAGTGTTACATTATTCTTTTCACATTCCAGTCTGGTCTACTTTTTCTTTGCTTGTTGTTTTAAAGCTTGGTAAGTTTAATCCTATTTTAAGAATCTTTGGAGGGGCAAGTTCTGATAAACCAAGGTTGATCGCACATGCGACAGTAGACGATGGGCAGGTCTGTCATCTTTTATATGCCCAGTTGGATTAACTAACTGTGCACACATGTCCAGAAAGCGCATACATACATACATACAGCTGAAAAACTTTTAGCCTAGTATACCAACTCTTACTTTCCGACTGTAATAACTTTTAAACAAGTGAGATAGGCGGTTACCATTGAAAAAGCCTAAATTAAAACATGTAACAACCACAGATAGTAATTAACGATATAAAAAAAATATGCAGCATGTTAGTATAATAAAACGATACCTCTAAAACTTAACTGATCAATTCAATAGTCAATGTTAAAGATTTCAATCTAACGAAGTTAACTAAATAGGCAGATTTACACAGAACAGTTAAATGTGACAGTGAAGATAATAACAAGTAGTTTTTGTGGAGCAGACGAGAATATGATAGATACTGCAAACCCTCAATCTTCTATTACGAGCAATCTCAGTTCACTGTTTTTTTTCATAAGTTGTGACTGAATTATGTGACAGCTTCGATGACCAAACAAAATTTCTTTTACAGTAAGCAAAATATTTACTTTGTGACATACTACCTATGTTTTACTGCAAATGGTAATTATTTCCAGCTTTGTCATAGATTGATATTGGTTAGAGGACCATTGAGAATCAGGGCGTACAGGACAACTGCTTCGTCCTAGTCTTGGACTCTTCATCAGTGTGCACTCATGACGGGTTCTGGAACTCAAGACCTTCAGGTTACGACGTGAACTCGTTGATTATTCAGTCACTGGAGCAAAACCCAGTGGCGTATGAATTCCAACCGATGAAACGTTCCAAATTACGACGAAACAGATAAGCAGTATTCTCTAGTTTTCAGTGTTTCTCTAACTGACATCAATCTATGAAACCAATCAATACCTTATAAACTAACACTTTAAAAACATATTAAATTCCTGTATACATAATAAATTGAGACTCACTTGTTGGTATGGTTGACGAGTAGTACGTACAAATAAAGTTGGCTGTTGAATTTGTGCAGCATGCTGAAAATGTTGAACACTGGCTTGGTTTTGTTGTGATGACTGCTGATGCTGTTGTTGTCCCAAATTAGAAGTGTTAACAGCAGTCAGTATACCACTAGCTCGTTGATACGGATCTAGGAAGGAAAGAAAACAATTAAATGAGCTGATTGTTCTTGGATGAGCAACTCGAAATCGCCTCAGATCTTATTCTCATTATGTGTTTGACTGTCTTCTTTGCATCAACCAACAACACAGTAACTGTTACGAACGTATTCAGTACAAATAAGGATAAAAGCCACTCAGTAGGGGATTATCATATCACTCAATCTTTTCTGAGTCTCGTTGTTTGTCAAACGTATCATCATAATTCACTGGGTTTACACATTAAAAGATTTGTACATTCGTACTGTTCATTAATGCGACATGTGATAGTACTAAAATAGAAATCACTCATAAAAAAGAAGGCAATCAACAGTGGGTAGGACCAGAGTTGCGTAACTTTACTAGTCAGGCTAGAAGCAGAACCTAAGCAAAAACTCCCACCATAGCTGCAATGACTGGTGACTGAGTAAAACAATTATATAGTAGTAAAATAATGCAGAAAATAATTACAAAAAAATGTGATTAAGAGCATGTACTCTGAGTGTAGAGTAGTTAGTGAATAGCATTTTCAGAGTTTATGGTTCATCTAATCAAATCTGCTCAACTAAAGTAAATAAAACTTTGAGACAGACACATCGGCTTAGATTCTGTAGGAAAAAACCTTAGACTTCTTTACTTAAGACCTAAAAAAATGGAATTTGATCATTAGAATTTGACTACAACAAATATTATTACCTAAAATATATACTTTGAGATACTGTTAAGACAAAAGTATATCATATGTATGGGATGAACAAATCAACATTTATATTGTTCACCTACTTTGAACAGGAAAAGACTGTGTATGCAATTGCCCATGTGTAGACTGTTGAGATACACTTGCAACAAGTTGACCACATGGATGTCTTTGCACAATATACGCTGGCGTTCCTGGTGCTGATTGTGGTTGATGAGATGCAAGTGTAGCTGTAGTTAAGTAATGCTGCATGCTAGTTGATCTTTGAAGTTGTGATGGCGTGCCTTGCAGGGAATTATTACTAGCCGGTCGATACTGCATTTGTTGAAGACTACCAGTTAATAAGACAGAAGGAAGTGCTGACCCAGCACAACCCGCCATTACTATAGACGGTTGTTGCTGTGGTTGCTGTTGTTGCTGCTGCTGTTGCTGTTGAATATGCTGTTGATGAGGTGCTGGTAAAGTTTTAGTAATTCCAGTAACTTTAGCATTTTTCGGTGATTTAGGAGATACCTTATGACCCATAGTACTTCCTACTGCACGACAAGGAGATTTTGGTGATTTAGGTTTACGATGATTACCAGAGGTTTGAGAAGAACCAAGATTAGATGAACTCCCACCATATCCAGAAGTGATAAGATTTCCTAAACTAGAAGAATTACCTCCTTGTAGACCAGAAAGTGAATTTGGTCCATTTTGACCATGTCCAGAATTGTTACTAGAAGAATGATTGTCAGAAGAGGAAGTTGCTGAAGAAGATCCCCGACCATGAGAAGATTCCTGTCATAATAAAGGAGTGTGTTATTAAAAATATGAGTTTTTAATCAAAAATTATAATACAAAAAAGAAAGACATTAGATATAAACAAACGATTGAGTTTAAGGGTGTTGTGATCCCTTTTATCTGCTAACATTTAAGAGATAGAAACGATGAAGCTGATGAATTATCTACACCATTCATGTTATCTGCAATTTTATAATCTACTGTTATTGAGCTAGAATTTAAGCACATTCAAGTAAAAGAAGACATCTATCGTGAATTTCAACACCGTCAATAAACAAAAAATAACAGCAATATCTGAGCTAAAAAAATATACCATTCACGTTTACTATTCTAAGTGAATTACTAATATTCTTAATCCACTAGAGATTGACTGCAATCTGAAGTACCTATTAGTATTCGCTGATTGGAGTATTGGGGAACACACACCTAAGTGTATATTAGACATTTTGAAGTTCTACATGACCTTTCATTAAGAAGTGTTAACAAAGGTGAATGAACAAAACTCCAGTTGGTGACATTAAAATACTAATGGGAGATATGAACGCCAAACTAAGACCAGACAACACAGGAAGAGAACTCATCATGGGTAGAGAAGCTCTCGGAGGGATAAATGAAAATTGAGAACTCTTTGCCGACTTCTGCAGCTTCAACGAACTAGTGATTGGTGGCAGCGTATACAAACACAAGGATATCCACAAGGCTACATGGGTGTCACCAGATGGGCGAACCAAAAACCAAATTGATTTCATCTCGATCTCAAGGAAGTGGAGACGCACCTTACTGGACAAAAAAGCGAGAAGAGGAGCAGACGTAGGCTCAGACCACTATCTCATACATGGACAATCCAAATCAAATTAAAAGCTTTTAAAGAAACAGGAGCAGCAGATAGACCATAAGCCAAGTTCAATACTCAAAAACTGGAGGATCAGGATACAAAGGAAATCTTCACTAAAAGCATAAAGGAAAAAGCCGAAACACAAATCAACACTAGCGAACAGGTCAGCGTCGAAAAGCACTAGTACAACTTGGAAACAGTGTGGAGTCAAACCTGCATGGAAGTTCTACGCAGAAAGAAGAGGGCAGGACAAACAGTGGCTCACTGTGGGCACTTGGAAACTAATAGAAGAGAGAAGGATAGTGAAACAAAAGATTATCCAGTGCAGCGACGAGCAACAAAAATAGGAGCTGAATTCAAGCTACAATACACTGAACAAAAGAGTGAAGAAGAGTGCCAGGGAAGACAAAAGAAAATATTATGAAACCATGTCAAGTGAAGCAGAACAAGCTGCAGGCAAAGGAGACCTTGCAACACTCCAGCAAACAACTAAGTTCCCGTTGAGAAAGAGATTAACACAAACTAAGGCAGTGAAGGATGACAATGAAAAATCAATCACCAAAGAGGTGGAGTAAAGGAAGCACTGGGCTGAACACTTCAAAAGACATCTAAATCGACCACCACCTACAACACGCTCAATAATACCGACAGCGGAAGCAGAACTGCCAGTGAGCATCAACCCCCTGACGGGAACAGAAGTCGTGAAGGCAATCAAGATACTAAAAATTGAAAAAGCAGCAGGACCAGAAGGAATCCCCGTAAAGGCATTGAAAATGGACTCATCGACATCAGCGGACTTGATGACACCACTACTGGAGAAGGTGGGGAAAGAAGGCAAGGTACCTGCGGATTGAAAGAAAGGCTACTTATTCAAACTGCCAAAGAAAGGAGATTTAGGTCAATGCAATAACTGGCGCAGCATTATGCTCTATCCCAAGCAAAATACTGAGCCGCATCATCCTGGAGCGAGTCAAACAAGCCCTGGATGAAGAACTTCGACCGAACAGGCTAGATTTAGGAGAAACAAGTCATGTATCAATCAAACCGCCACACTACGGATCATCATTAAACAAAGCTTGGAATGGAAGTCACCTCTCTATTTCAACTTCATCGACTTCGAAAAGGCCTTCGACAGCGTCGATCGAGAGGTGATTTGGAAACTACTTCGCCACTACAGGGTGCTGCTGACAATCATACATCTCATCCAACAGCTGTTCGACAATGCTGCATTCCAAGTAATCCAGAGTGGGAAACTCACTGAATCCTTCGAAGTGAAGGTTGGAGTAAGACAAGCTGCCTTCTATCTACAATGATTTTCCTGATTGTGGCAGACTGGATAATGCGACAGACAGTGGGCCGGGCAACGAGGAGACATGCATAAAATGGACACACAAAAAACTTGGAGGATCTGGGTTTCGCTGATGATGTTTGTTTGACTTCACACAAACTGGAAGATGTGCAAGTGAAAAGCAAGAAGCAGCATCAACGACAGAACTTCAAGTGAACACAGAGAAGACAGAGGTGATGAAGACTCCTGGCCAACAACAACAAACAGAAATCAGCATAAATGGGAGGAACCTGAAAGAAACAACCTCATTTACCTACCTGGGAAGCATCGTTTCAACTACAGGCCGACGGAACTGATGAAGATACCAAGGCAGCGAGGATCGGGAAAGCAAGGTAAGCTTTCATTACGTTCAAGTCTCTGTGGTGGTCAACAGCACTCACCATCAAAAATAAGATCCCGATTTTCATATCCAATGTGAAGTCAATTCCACTATACACCGATCAGAGACTTGGCGAGTCATGAAGAGCACCTCAAACTACAGACCTTCATCAGCGGCTGTCGTCGCTCAATACTACTCAAGAGCAGATGGCCGGTCAGAAAAGGTCATCAACAAGGATCTCTGGGAGCGAACCAACACAGCAGGAACCGATTTTGCAACAAATAAGTAGGAAGAAATGGAGGTGGACTGGCCATACGCTGAGGAAACCATCAAGTGACATCACTAGACAAGCCGTCGCTCGAGTGGAACCCGAATGGGGAGGGTGATTTGGAGGAGGTCATGTGAAGAGGAGATGAAAGCATGTGGGAAGACGTGGAGCCAGGTGAAAACGTTGGCAGAGAACCGAACGCAATGGAGACGTGCAGCTGAGGCCCTATGTTTCTCTAGGAACTAAAGGAAACAATAATAATAACAAAGGTGAATGGTTTTCCTACAGATACTACTCAAATAAATAAGAAAAACGACTATTTGTCTTATTTTTAACGACTAGCTGAAATGGCAATAAATATACTTAGTTTTATATTCTGAAAAATATAATAACCGACGTGAAATACAATTTTATTACTGGGCCTATTATTAGTAGTATGAAGTGACTACACATCAATAACAAATATTACTACAATTACACTTACTCGATTCCATGTATGTTGTAGGCTTAAAATGTTTTTTACATTTTGCATTACAATAGCATCTTTTTCTTCTTCATTTAAATTTTGTTCTTGCATATGTTTGCTAGACTTTGATTTACTAGTCTTCGCATGATGTCCAGTACTGCTTGTACTATTACTGCTAATACTTATTAAATTGGTGGTTGGTGTTGTTATCGATAAGGCACCACTGCTAATGGCACTATTTGCAGAAATTGGTAAAAAACTATTGCTTAGTATTACATTCGTGTGGTTTCCTGGCATACTACATCCTGAATAATTGGATCCTGATGAATTAGAATTTCCGATGATATCTGCAATGCAAAAAAATGAACTATTGAATACAAATACAAGAAGTAAACATGACCGCAGAAAATTGTCATTTTAATGGGAATAAAAATGCCTTACCATACATAGTAAAACGTTTATAAAAAAAGGGTGCAGATGTGGCTCATCGACTTTAATATTTAACTATCAACTAGTGGATTCAAATGTTGCTCAGCTTTAATAATTTATTCTGAGTGAGTGGACAGAATTATCAGCCTTCTATACATAAAATCTATTTCTGGTAGCTGAGTTCTATCTAGTAAACTTGAACAGATAGCTATTTCAATACATAAAATTAAGGATATATTGTATAAACCTATATACAAGTAACAAGCTGTGGTTGGTAGGAGTAAGTACTCAGCTTAAATTAAGGAGTAAAGACACTAAAAATTCGCTTCACTAACCACTACAGTTTAATTTTTTAAACAATGCTTCTGCTACATCCATTCCATTATGAGTGTGATTTATCGCAATAAGTATAAATAAAAACACTACCTTTTATATCTACTGCATTTCCTCTAATTGAATGGACTCTTTTACCTGATATAGATCTTCTAAGCAGCAGGCTTTGAACTGTACTTATTTTGTGGGAGTCCATTTTATTGACCGGTCGCTCAAATATTGATTAGGTGGAGCACAATTCAGATCAGGAACTATTTTTGGCCGAAAGTCGAAATCCTAGGGTCAATAGGAAGCATCAATGAAGAACGTCCCGTCTCGTGGTCTTTTGTCAACCATTATTAGGCAACTCATTGTGTGTTCTGTACTCGTACAAGACTATGAGCCCCAACTTAATGTGTGGATCAGGGCACTTACCAGTTCAATGAACCATATATATATATATATATATATATATATATATATATATATAACCGTGTTAGCAATTCCTTTTAGAGGACACAAGTGAACTGAATGACGGTTACTCATTACTCATGGACCACCAGATAGAGAAACAGGAAAATCTTTAACTAAGTTACGCCAAATTGTAATTAAAATCATTTATGAAAGGCGTAAAATAAAAACATAATGAACCTTATTAAGAAAAGCACATTAATAATTATTGAGTACTCCATACAGCCAGAAACTGTGTTTGATAGTTCTGGCTTCACGAAAATTACATTGACTGAGTCACTTAACATGAATTGATCATAGTTAAAGCCTATTTAGATGGCAATTAGAAGATAAGGAAGACATAATATTTGTGTTAATCTTAGTTTAAGCATCTTCGTAAGCATGTCTACGCATTCTAGGTTAAAATGTGGACGTGTGTCATTGCTGAACCTAAACAGAAATGATTTCCAACATTTACTGACACTGTAGTATATCTCAAATATATCCGTAATAGTAAATGTTGGTTGAGAATGAAAGGAAAGTGGTAAATAAATTTTAAAAAATCATTATTTATCAACTTCGATATTTCTCGAAGTTATAAATTGTTAAAATAAAATTAATGAAAGCTTTTATTTCCGGTAAGACGAAAGCAGTTTACACATACCAGAGCCTGTAATTTGTTGCACCATTCCTTGTTGGACAGTAGGATCAGTGTAGATTGGTAAACCAGATGGAAAACGCTACAATGTAAACAGAAATTAAATAAGCATAAATCATACTGGAAAAAAAACAGAAAGAAAAACGTTAACACACGCAAACTATATGACTCCTCAGTGCACTGCTATCCAGCTACTACTAAGAAGACAACACCGACGTCAAATCAAATTGAAAATATTGACTAGAGTGTAACTGAAAGCTTTTTTCTCAATAAAAACCACTTCAGTTAAGAAAGACAAAAATGAGAACTGAGAAAACGTGGATACTAAGTAGTTATGATCAATACTGTAAGTACATTTAGGAACTTTGTTTCATAAAAGCAGCAAGATAAGTAAATGAAGTCAAAGTTCTATGTTGTTAAAACCATGCAATATATAAATACATAGGACAATGAATTACGCTTATTTAGCATTACGACTATTATTAAATTTCGGTCAGTGGATCCGGATTCTAGCACCCAACCAAAGGATTAAAAGTCAAGAGCATAAACCAAAGAAACACAGGTTCAAGAAATGGATGTGACTTTACTAATTCTCATACGAGTTTTCTTAGCATATCTTATGAGGTACCAATAAACAACTATAACTACGAAAGAAAACTAAGATATCATTAGGAGCACGCTTTTGGATATCAATCAAACAGAAAGTTGCCAGCTACGACACCGACAAATCAACTGTAGATTACACCATTTGCACACAAATATTATTTAAACGAGCGAAAACATGCTGCAGTACACTACTCCACGGAGAAAACAAAAAAAATTTACTTAATTTCCATTTCTTATAGAATAAATACTCATTTAAGCATATTGAAAGGTATTTAACAAATTCTTCATCAACTATAAAGCTATCTACATAAACCAACAATGGGATCACTCTGTCATAAACTGAGGACATGACTGAGATGACAACAGTGGAAGCCAAGGAATGAGAGATAGCAAAAGAAAAGCACATGTCACTGCACAATCATGGATGCTAATTAAATTGATATAATGTGCGAATTTCTGACAGAGGAAACTAAGATTTTCGAAAGCTTGGCACTCAGGTAAGTCAGTAATCAGTACGTACTTTAACACTACACTATCCAGTGTGTCAGAAAATAAGAATGACAGGAGAAAATAATAAAGTCAGAACTCCAGCCAGTGAATATACACATATAAACAGTGAAGATGAGTGCAGAAAGAAACAACCAGTCACACGCAACATCAGAAAAACAAACAACCAGACTATTTAGATAGAAAGTTATACAGCTAGTGAGAATGATACTGCATCCAACGGTAAAGAAGTTTGTACAATTAATATTTCCAAATCAAGGGATGAAATGCAATCAACGTTATCCTTATTTTAACAATGAAGAGTGTCTACATTTAACCCGTCTATAGTAGCAAGTAAATAAACAAGTACAATAAACATACGCTTTAATGAAGTCTCAAAAAGTAGAAAGCCTCTAAGTTTATATCTTATGAACAAATAAGCGTAAGCAAAACCCTACAGTAAATACACTTTTTAAATCATAACTGCATTCAGGTGATCAATAACTACTGGATACAACTGATTAAGACGTTTAAAACATTGCTTGGGTGTTATAAGGTCACGGAACTAGAATTTTTAAAGTTAAACGTAGTGTTCTAGATAAAGATGGTTAGACAAATGAGGAAAGATATACTTGATATAACAAGATACGGTTAACTTGAGGACGTTAGATAGGCTGCATCAATAATGAGCTGAAAAAGAGGCTGAGAAAATCCAGAACAAGGTACAACTGTAATCCACCTAGTTATTAGATGCTGGACTAAGTGGTGTACACCATTTTTACGACTCCTCATATTGGCCTTTGATATAGCAGAAATAATCGGTTGAAGATTTTAGGACAGTCCTATGTGGCTATGATTTATAAGCATTTTCTTTTCAACTTACACCAAAGCTTGAATATGGTATTAGTTTATGCATATTTATTGTACCTCAGTGCATACTACTTTCGTTAATCTTAATGTCTCTACCTTTTTGACTATTGTTTATAATGTTACGAAGTATGCCTTGTTGAATGACAGTTTTTTTGTAATACATTCTACCTTAATCTACACCCCAACAACTAAAAATAGGTGTAAGGGAATTATGTTAACGAAAAGTAAGTAACCAAACAGTGAGTAGAATTTTTTTTCTAAAGCATCCTAATATGTTATGAATAATGCTAACATTTTCATCTTACCTGATTAACACTACCTTGAGCACCACTCACTGGGAATCTCTGAGGTGCAGCTATATTCTGAGCAACTGGATTACGATTCGCTAAAGGCGACGATATTGAGAAACGTTGTTGTTGTTGCTGCTGTTGATTACCACTTCGAGATTGATCTTGGGTGGCTTTCTTAGATGAACCACGACCAGAGCCACCACCACGTGAATGCCCTCCACGACCAGGCCTACTTGGTGTCACACCATCATATTTGGCCTTTTGCTCCACAGCTCTCATATTCTAATAAATATAAAGTATTTGGAAAAAATTAACTCCTCCAAATGAGAAAATCGAATTGGGTATTTTCAACTTCTCACCTAAATCCGGAACACAATGAAGTGAAATACAAAACTAAACAAAAAAAAATAGGAGAATAATTTAGGATATTTTAAATAACTGACTGATAGAATTCACTGGTACACTGTCAGAATTAACAATGTGGCTTCAGTTGCTACGACTAAAACAAGCTTAGTGTATTTGAATTACTAACCAATTGGTAATAAATAGACTGTTAATCAACTCCTTCATTCTCAAGTAACATAAGTATCATAGAGACGAAGAAACAATAAAGACAATTATAGTTACAGCAAGATAATCTAACAGATGCATCATAAAACTTATCAGGATTATTAATAAAAAGTGATAAAAACTAATAGTGACTATAACTCACAATTTGCTGAACACTTAAACCAGTTGCCGCTTGCACATTTGTTCCACCTGATAATACTGATGACAGCTGTTGTGATGATGACTGTAGTGTATGCATAATTTGATTATTCTGAACCAAATTTTGTTTACTTGTGATGATTTGTGATGATTGTTGTTGTTGTACATTATTTGTGCAATTCAATATATTACTAATTGCAGTATTCGTAGTAATTGTGTTTGTGTTTATATTGGGATTAACAGTTGAAGATGTTGAATCGACTGTAACATAACTGTGGTTATTATTCATCATTAAATCACCACCAGACAGTGTAGAGTTGATAATTAAATTTGATTCTTGCTTTATTAAACTATTTAGTGAGATATCATTATTACTATTTTTATGCATATCAGATTCTTTAGGTTCATTCAATTGTTGCTGCTGTTTTACAGACATCTGTTTAGAAGATGATGGTGATGGTAATTGTGATGGTGGTGGTGTTCTACGAACTAGTAAATTAGGATGATATGATTCACACGCCAGTAAACTATTCTGTGCTAAACAATCAACAATCCAATCAGGTGTGACTAGGACAGGCTTTGTGTTACTTTCACTATCCGTACTATCATTTGTCAACATCGTAGTCACATAATCATAGAAGTTCTACACATGTTATTTTTAAAACAGTTAAGAGAAAAAGGAAAAAAATTAAGCAGCACAGAAAAAATAGAATAGAATTTGAATAGAGAAGACATTTATTAAGCAGTAAAAGACTGTAACTTATCAATGTTGTGCTTAATCAATCACTATGGTCCCAACCAAAACCCAGCCTGGGTTTTAAGAAAACTAAGCCGAACACAGCCGTAAACTACAAAGTGAATTACACGTCATCCAGTTGAAATTTTGCAAAAACCGAAAACTAGTAACTGATAACCTAACATGAAACTGAGTACCGTGAAACCAACTCTTACTTAACTCTCTGCTTAACTTGCAGCTTTGAGAACCTCTTTATAATCACTATTTTCCATTATTATTATTATTATTTATTATATCCTTTAATTCCTAGAGGAACATAGGGCTTCAGCTGCGCACCTCCATCGCCTTCTGTTTTCTGCCAACTTTTTCACCCCGCTCCAAGTCTGCCCACATGCTTTCATCTCCTCTTCACATGACCTCCTCCAAGTCACCCCACCGTGGGACGACCAACTAATTCGCCGCTTCCCTTTCGGGTTCCACTCGAGCGACGGCTTCTCTAGTGATGTCACTTGATGGCGTGTTCCTCAGTGTATGGCCAATCCATCTCCATTTCTTCCTACTTATTTGTTTCACAATCGGTTCCTTCTGTGTTGGTTCGCTCATTGCCAGAGATCCTGTTGCTGATCTTTTCTAACCGGCCATCTGCTCTTGAGTATTGAGCGAAGACAACTGTTGATGAAGGTCTGAAGTTTGTTTGAGATGCTCTTTATGACTCGCCAAGTCTCTGGTCCGTATAGTAGCATTGACCTTACATTGTATATGAAAATCGGGATCTTATTTTTGATGGTGAGTGCTGTTGACCACCACAGAGACTTGAGCGTAATGAAAGCTTACCTTGCTTTCCCGATCCTCGCTGCCTTGTATCCTCATCAGTTCCGTCGGCCTGTAGTTGAAACGATGCTTCCTAGGTAGGTTTATGAGGTTGTTTCTTTCAGATTCCTCCCATTTATGCTGATTGTTGTCTGTTGTTTTTGTTGTTGCTGTTGGTGTTGGTTTTTTAAATTCCTTATAGAGTCAAACTTTTCTGAACTAATTTCAGTCCAAGTAAAAGTAATGCTACCCAGTGACGAATCAGATGGATGGTGATAAGTTAACCTTGTTTAATGGCTCATGGTATCACACGGCTACCCCAAAACCAACAAGTGAAGTAAGGCGTAAGCCCGTAACCTAATAGGTGAAGGTAAAACAGTCAAACAAAATCACACATGATCCTCTTTGTGTGGCCATCTCTTCCATCCCATAATGTACTAAAGGTGTTTGTGATGTTCCCTCTCATTTTTATCTCATAAAGCTGTTTATTTAATATCTACCATCGAGAATCTTTGATACCTATGTGTAACCGACGGTTAAATATCAGCACCCACTAATATATTTTTGAATAAAAATAAGTAAAGCCAAATACCTTGCATTTTTCAACATTATAGAAATGATTGCCTAATAATAACAAGTGGTGTGTAGATTAAAATGCAAAATTAAATTATTCTGGACTACTTTAAAGATGACGCCTTTAACTGAAGCGTGTATTACAAATCGTTAGAAAAAAACAAAGTGAATTTTGAGATTTGGCAGTAGGCATAGATCCCGAACTTTTCAGTGAACTGACCACTATTTTACAAACAATAAATTACCGCTGATCTTTAATATGGATACCAATGTATCAGGTTATCAACTTGTCATTGCTGCTAATTTGATTGTACGAACATCAGGAACTCGAGTTTTGTCTTCACTGACACTTATTAAGAATGAATACGCGTAATGGTAAGGGAAATAATGTTCTGTATACCATTCGAAACAACATATCTCACTACTACAATCAGAATTTATGGTCAAAACACAATGTTAGTAAACGACAAACAAACAATCCCTCTTGAAAGTATAGTAGTTACTCTAATTATCTTTTGAAGCAATGAGCTGAAGAAATGTAAGCACTCTTTAATCTACCTAATTATTGTTTCGTTGGTGAAATAGGTAAAAATGAAAATGAGATGAATAAGCAACTTACCCCAGTTGCCTTGGCAACAACTACATGAGTGACAGAATTATCCAAATAATGAGACATTTCGCCTCCATGTATAACTACATGGGCCCATATTGCAAGTCGATCGGCTGTACCCAACTAGAATAAGTGAAAGTTAGAGTAAAACCATGACAAAAAATTATGACGTACTCCACTACATGTAATTTTCGTCCCTTTGAATATCTGTTTAAAGTCTGGATGGAAAGGACGAAATCTACAATTTTTCATTTAGTAAAACAATTTACTGAATCTTACGGTAAAAACTTTTGAGCCTCGGCGGATAGTTTTACCCAACGACTCTAAATTAAATAATGAAAAATTAGAATACGGTATTACAGTGACGACCGGGACAGCATAAAGTTCTTCTGCCTCCCCAACTTCTGCGAGGGACGGATCATCACTTATAGCGAAACGTATACTCTCTGACAAAAATGGATGACTAACTGCACCCGACGACTTCAAAAGATCTACCACCTAAAATTCAAGAGAAACAATAAGTGGTTGTGAATGAGAATTTTAAAATAGTTCTTCAACGAAGAAATATTTTCTGTGTAAAACCTGCAGTTACTAGGCAGTTCTGTTACACTTACCCCGAACGATAGCTGCTACCTCGATGTGGTGGTCAAGGTTGCACATCGCAATGACCCAACAAGCTGCACTGGCTGGAACCAATGTTCCTGCAGGTCCTAACATGCCAGGAAGGTTGTTAGGATAGCGATTAGACTAAAAGCAGTTACAGCCATAGTGTAGGAATTTTTCTTTTTTACACTGTGTTGGGGGTCTGTGGGCGAAGTCGTACTGCTGGGAACAGGGATGTAACACAGTAAGGTGTTTCTCTCAGATGACCAGCATGCCAGCTATGCTATCTCTACCCTGGAGAGAAGCGGTTAGAGAAGGTCGACCCCTACAATTGTACATCCCGACTTACCATACGGCGCTCCGTAACCGGCGGTAAGTTACTTATACGAACCAAACCAATAAACCAGTTCATACAGGCAGTGTGTGACCGGCCTCAAGCAGTTATTCCCTGGGCTTTGCGGTCGCGCAACGCTAACCTCTCTTTCTGTTTCAGGTATCCCAAGAATCAATCAACTTCCACGGCGTGGACAACCGGGAAGTAAAAACACACTTCCAAGAGCACACGAAGCCTTCCTGAACATCGTTCTCTTTTACCCACATCACCTTTCTCATCTTTGCTTCACTCTGTGACCACAAAGAACAATGAGAGCCATAGAAACAACTCCGACAGCCTCTTAAAGCCACGTCGCCAACTTCATATAGGTGCACTCAACGTCAGGACCCTCTGACAAATCGGACAACAGGCATCACTAGCAAGAACTCTGGCATCTCGAGCCATGGATGTATGTTTTGTTTCAGAGACACACATGCAAGACCCGAATATGGTCATTCACTTAACCTCACCCAGCCAACAAGGTGAGTCTGAAAAATTCACTTTAAGGGTGTCAGGAGACCCCTCAGCTAGTTCGGGAGGACTCGCAGTTGTAGGAATAGCACCGAGTGTTAGGGCAGATAAATCACTTCTTGACTGGATCCCAGTAGATAGTCGTGTGTGTGCGGTCCGTCTGAATGGGTCCGTTAAAAGATGGAAAGACGGCACTACCCGTCGTTGCCTTTTCGTAGTCTCCGCTTACGCCCCAACAGACTGCAGTTCGGATGAACTAAAGGATGACTTCTACCTGAAACTGTCTACTTTGCTGCGAAAAGTAAAACGCTTAGATATAGTTGTTTTCGCAGGCGACTTCAATGCCCAAGTAGGGAAATTAGGCCAGACTGAGAAGTATATAGGTGGTACATACGGAGTTCCCTGCCGACGAACCGACAACGGTGGTCGTCTTCTACAGTCCTGTTCAGATAAGCATCTGTTTCTAGTCATCACTAACTTTAGGCACAAAGAGAGACATTGTGTAACCTGGCGACCGCCATCAACAAATCAACGCTGGACTCAGATAGACCACATAGCGATAGGGTATCGTTGGTGAGGGTCAGTAGAAGACTGTCGCTCCTACTGGAACACATGCGTAGACTCCAATCACGCTCTGGTTCGCACACTCTTATGCTTACGTCTAAACGGACATAAAAAATTGTTGGCAGCTAGATAGAAATTCTGAGTCCCTATTTAAGGGAGAAATAGCGAAACGAGTATCTGAGGTCGACAACAAGACTCATCCTGAGGAAGCCCGGCACAACACACAGCTGTAAAGGCAGCTAATAACTTGAAACCTCAAGTTAGTAAGAGCCATTGGATTTCTGCCACCTCATCCGAACTTATTGACGCAAGAAGACTGATTTCGGAGCTCTGATTATGATGAGGAGCGAAAGCTACTCAAACACAAACTAACAAGAATCTTCGTAACGACCGCGAACAGAGGTTGGCAACAAAGACGGACGGGATGGAATAGGCATCGGCGATTGGTAACACCAGACAAATATTTAGGCTTTTCAGGGAAACAGGTAGTAAAAGGGAGAGGATAATTGAAACAATCTCTGAGGAAAATGGCACCATAACTAGCTCCCAAGACAGACGACTATAACGTTAGAAACGATACTTTGAAGAGCGATTCAGTTGGCTTACAGCCACGCTCAACCTAACGAACATTCAACACCCCCCTAAATGGGATATAGACACAGGTCCACTGTGCCTGAGGTCACTAAGGCTGTCACTAATCTGAAAAGAGGCAAAGCAGCAGCACCTAATGGAATGACTCTAGAGGTATTTAAGTACGGTGGGGACAGTTTGCTCTCTTCGTTAACTGAAGTACTAGGCAGCGTCTGGAAATCAGAGGAAGTCCCATTAGGCTGGTGTAAGTCATTGAGGGGCAAGTCTTCCTGTGATACTCACAGGGGGATTAGCTTGACTGATATGCTATCTAAAGTTCTAGGCTCAATAATAATGCGCAGACTAAGTGGTACTGGGAAGGAACAAAAACGAGAGAACCAGGAAGAGGGTATAGGATTTATATCTTCAACCTTCGACATATTCTGGAACACAGCCGGCGTCCAACAGTCGTTATATTTTGATTGGACACTAGTAACTAGTGTGATGTGTCTAGTCCTTTCTTTGGTGCAGATTGAATTCTATCAGTTAGGTTTGCTATGTGACCACCATTCTAGATAGCTCGCCATCACGGTGTACACTGACTTGATGATATTAGATTTATATATTCTTTTCTCGCCATTCCTTTCAGAGCCAAGCATCGTTATAGTACCTCTCGGTCAACAGAATCGAATGTCGCCTTTAGGTCAAGAAATATAACGATTAGATGGTTGGAGGCAATCGGCAGGAAGCCTTCGACCTAGGTTTCGTGCTAGTTGGCACTCATCAGCAAGGCGTATCTGCAACCTTGAAGGAACTCATGTCCCTTCTGAGGTTTGAACCCACTTCACCCAGTGCTGCAGTCAGAGACGTTACCCCTGAGCTATTCGGACTCGCGATTGACCTCTTGTAGGACTCTAGTGGATACTTCGATACTTTGACCAGACACCCCACTAGTTACTGGTGTCCAATCAAAGTATCCACTAGAATCCTACAGGAGTCAATCGCGAGTCCGAATAGCTCAGGGGTAACGTCTCTGACTGCAGCACTGGGTGAAGTGGGTTCAAACCTCAGAAGGGACATGAATTCCTTCAAGGTTGCAGATACGCCTTGCTGATGAGTGCCAACTAGCACGAAACCTAGGTCGAAGGCTTCCTGCCGATTGCCTCCAACCATCTAATCGTTATATTTCTTGACCTAAAGGCGACATTCGATTCTGTTGACCGAGAGGTACTATAACGATGTTTGGCTCTGAAAGGAATGGCGAGAAAAGAATATATATACATGTATATACTCGGACACTATGTTGTACTAGGCTTCCTCAAGAGACAAGTCTTGCTGCCAAGTAAGAGCTTACGGCGAGTTGTTATCTGAAGTGGCGACAACTAGCGGTGTTCGTCAGCGATGCCCGCTGTCCCCATTCCTATTCAATTTCATCAAAGATGTACTTAATGGACTAAATACTAACTGACTTCAGCTGCTCAATGATTGACTTGTTACCAGGGTATAATCTCGTTGACTTAGAATATGCAGACGATATAGTTCTTCTAGGTGAAGACGCTGAAAAATGCAGAGTCCTCTGAACAACTTGAGCTGCAATCTACGAATGTTTGGCATGCGATTCTCTCCCTTTGTCAAACGAAAGATGATGCTACAGGACTGGACTACATTGACTTCTAACTTAGAAATAGAGAGTGAATTGGTTGGTAGAGAGTATTAACCACTTCACTTCATCAGCCATAACGGGTTGATCTCTGATGAAATCTCAGTACGGATACCGAAAGCTCGTTTCGCATATGCCAGTTTACGCCGTCTCTGGCGTAGACGTGATGTTCGACTATCGTCCAAAGGGCGTGTGTACTGCTCATCGGTCCGCTCTGACCTCCTTTATCACTGTGAGTGAGACATGGCCATTGAGAGTGGAAGACTGTGGTAGCTGTCTTTGATCATAGGTGGCTGCGCTCTATCTCCCGTGTTAACTGGTATAGTAGGGTGAGCAATATCGAGGTTAGGCGTCGAGTGCTAGGTAAGGAGGGGAAATCAATCGGCGAGGCTGTGAAGATGCATCGACTAAGATGGTTAGGACATGTGTTACGTATGCTTAGTCATCGATCGCCTTCCTCGATGGGCAATGTTAGCTGACATAGAGTCAGGCTGGAAAAAAGCCAGTGGTAGTCAAACCAAAACATGGTTTCATCAGTCAATAAAATCCGCAACAGTTAGTTCAAACCTTGTAGGAAGGTGTAGTTGCGGTCCTCGGGACAGTAAACACCAATGAAGGCTGGAGACAACTGATGATATGGTTCAAAATTGTTCTCAATGGCTGATGCAGATGCATCCACTCCTTGTGACTTATAATACTCAATAAGAGTATATCGTTCTTCGATATTACCATTCTGTTTGCCTCATATCTGTGTTTCCTGTCACTGTTTTGAATTTCTTTTTACTTTCTTCCCTTGTTTTGTGTGTTACATGGAGTGTGGCGACTTTAAATGCTGCATATCGGTGCAAAGTTCTGTTGAAACCAGTCAGTCAGTCAGTCAGTTACACTTACTGTATGGGAGCTGATAATATTAGCCAAGGTTGAATTAAGCAGGACCTACAAGATGAAAGCAATAAGCTAAAATCAAAGCACCACACCCCTATAGCTGCCACAAATACCTTCTACACATTAGAAAGTCTCATTATTTTAAGAACAATTTCATTAAAACTGGACTGAGATAAATTCACATCTGAAAGAAGAGAACACGAAGTTCAGCAAAGATATCTTTTCGGCGATTTCATTCTCAAAAGCTGTACAATCGCATTTATACAGATTATTTTACATAGATACAATTATTATTTGTTTAATTTCACATAGTAACGAAGGTGATAATAATTTTCAACTTGATATGAAAGTTATAAAACTAGTTATTGTAATTTTGTTTCCATGCTCCTTCTGATCACACTTGTAATCCGTTTAGAATAACCATTTTACAATTATATTCTAGTCCTGTGTAATTTTTTGTTTCTATACCTCTTGTAATCTATATTCATACCTGCTAACTAGCATTTCAAGTTGAAAATTTTGATTTCAATTTGTTTCCATGCTCATTTTGTTCACACCTGTAATTCGTTCTATCCCTGCGTTTCTAAGCCTCTTGTAATTCATATCAAGTCGAAAATAATTATCACCTTTGATTCGCCTTTAAAATTATTTCTCCAGTTATCAAATATTAATTTTTTGCATACGTTTTAACTATTTTCTAATCCTATAAAATCTTGTCTCTAAGCCTCTTGTAATCTATATTCGTACCTTCAAACTTTCATATCAAGTTGAAAATTATTATCACCTTCGTTACTATATGAAATTAAACAAATAATAATTGTATCCATGTAAAATAATCTATATAAATGCGATTGTACAGTTTTTGAGAATGAAATCGCCGAAAAGATATCTTTGCTGAACTTCGTGTTCTCTTCTTTCTAATGTCCATATGGGTATTTTCCACGAAATTCACATTTGACGAAATACTGATCAGGGAAACTTTTCGTATACATGAAAAATAAATACTTACACTATCCGACCATTTAACTGGACGGTAAATTCTACATGTCAAAGAGGTAAATCACGTGTAAGTAATAAAGTTACGAGTAGTTAAAAACCAGCAGTCGAAGCTAATATTATTTATATTTGCCGAAAAATTAATTTCGAAAGTGTGCTGTTCTGAGATACGGTCACTTACCACAAGATAACGAGACTGAAATTACTTAGTTACTTTGATACCAGTCAGTGAGTGATTTATTTTTCTGAAATGACATAATGTTGAAAATTAGCGAACAAGTTTGACTTCAAACAGCAGACAAACAAGTACATTTGCACAAAACTGTACTACATCAAGATGCAACTTCCGAACAGCATACAAAAATGTGAACGGGAATAGAATACTGCGTAGGACTTAACAAAAGTCATTATTCACGTTATGGTAGGTGGAATCAAATACAGTTACTTATGGTATGCTAACCACGGATTGATAACCATAAATATGAGCAAGAAGTCATTGAAAACGACTGTGTATCTTATGATAATCCTTAGATTACAGAAGCGGAATATACTATGATAAACATATGAATGTAAGAACAATAATCTCATGAAATTCATGAAGGGTGAGTGATTGCTTCTGCATCCTTATCAACAACTCTAGGTCATTTTTTAAACAGCGAGAATTCACATATTAGAAACACCTACATGGTTCAAATCACTAGCGATCACAAATTGGTGATGTACTTTTATCTTACCATCCCTAGCATTTCCTCCAAGTCACCATTTTCATAATACAGCGTCTCGATCACCTTAATGGATGAAGATATTTAACTTCGTTCATTAATAAACGTTACCTGACTAACACTAGATCTAACCCTAACGTTAATTGCTGTGAATCCAACAGAAGAGGGGAAAAGATGCAAGTTGACAAGTGAATAGTCTTCCTACTCATGCCTTATTAGGACATGCAACTTTCCAAATACGTAAAATAGTACACACGGTGTTCAGAAGACGAGATTTTCTCAGCGTCTTCACTTAGCAGGGCCACACTCTGAGCACAGTAAATGAAATAGCTATTATACTAGTAGCAAATAAATCCCTGAAATAAATTTGGTCAGTCACTTCATAGGTATACAAAGTAGAATTACGTAAAAAATAGTGAGTGAACATAGACACTTACAGTGAAAAAAACAAGTTCAACAAGAAAAAGCGATAAAACAAGCCACAGTCACAAGATACAGAACAATGAAAAACAGACTCAAAGAAACACAAGGAAGTGACGAACCAACAGCACAAGCGATTGTTTTGAGCCAAATTCGTTTTAGGATAACGCAACAGTGTTAATCAAGATACAAACCAAAACAACAAACAACGTGGAAGAGAAAGTCAATGTTCCAAATACCAAAATCATTTTAGTGGTTTCGTTGCAACCATTCTACGTCAAATATATCACAGTTAGACTCATTGCAAATATTATTTCTTAGGCATTTCTTCGCACATATTTTACATTTCATAAATGAATTGACTGACTGTGGGAAACTCAACAGCCCAAATTTTGTTAAAAATCTCAAAAGCCTCCACAAAAACCCCAGATAAAGAGGGACCATAAAACCACCTACTTTTACTATTATCAAACACTAGTGAAATTAGACGAGGTTACTTGATCTCTCTATCTATCCTTTAACGTGCAATCAATGACACTTAGGATGGCTCTAAAGGATGTACGTCATGATGACGTTCCGCCCTGGATGTATGTTACCAGTGTCATCTTAAACACTTCCATACTGTTTACTGATCTTTAATCATGAGTGCTTGGAAGAGCCAATTACGTAGAGCTGTGAGATGAATGACTGAGTTTCTATTGTAAGAGTTAAAGCCAGTACACTCCACATAGCACGCAAAGGTAAAAGTAAAAAGCTTCGGATGGACCATAGTGAACGAAAATGCACGGCAGAAATAGAAAAGAATGAAAATCTGATGTAGCTAGCTCATATAAAGTGAATATATCTGTTACATTTAAAGACTTGTTTTGAGCCATTTCACTAAGTCTCTAATCATTGGTTCTGTTACGACGACGAGGCCAGTCAATGAGTTTACACTTTCGTACTTGGATTAAAGACCTCATGGATTCCTACCATGTTTCATTTTTGCTACCACTAACTCTTTTCCAACCTACTCTTATATGAGCTAACATTGCTCCTCAAGGAGGGCGATAGTTCAGTATGCGTGACAGGTTCTAGCCATCTCAATAGATGGCAGTTTACAACCTCACTGACAGCTTTTATCACTTTACCAAATCTGATTACTTCTGATTATATTATACCACCTAATATGAGATAAAAGATAGATATCCATGACCGAAGGCGACTATCGTCTTTATACCTTCTAAAGAAAATTTCACACAGTAAAGCTGGATGCAGCTTATGAACAAATATTTAATGTCAACAAAATTATTGAGAAATACACCATGGGCTGTAGCTACCAAGATACTATAATTATGTGAAGAGCTTTGATGGCGACACAAATGGAAGGGTTCACTTTAGCGATTATTCAAAAAGAGTCTAAGATGCTAGGTACCTAAGATGTGTTATGTGATCTAAGACACATCATATATTCAAACCCACAATTCGACAGTTGCTCACCACAACAGATAGTGATTACCTATTATCTACTGTGGGCCTCTTCTGTTTGCCATGTTTATATAGAAGGACAATAAATGCACTAGTGTGGAATTACTCAGTTGGACAGTGTGCTTTAATAAGACAAAAAGAAAAGTACACCGGACTATAAAGACCGCAAAACTTGTGAAAGAATAAAGTAACGATTTATGAGTCAACAGAGTTGGGGAACTCATGAAGTGTTGGTAGCTACGTTGTTGATCAGGTGTAACATCCTCGAAATAGTTATGTTAGATTTTCTCAGTACGTCTTAAGCAAATTAAAAAGAATGTCAGACTTTTTGTTGTCCTTGAAAACATACACAGGACTGAAGAGTATGACAGTGCGACACTGAACATTTAGGTTTCCGCATATTTACATCCATCATGGTAAGGATTTAGAACTTCAGACAATAACATGAATTGTGATATAGGAGGGTGAGGAAATAGACACTACATAGCAAAAATGTGCCTCATCCAGTGCTACTTTAGTCTTTCAAGTGATTTACACTAGGAGAAAACCCTGAATATATCTCAGTTATGAAGCTGACCAAATGACACAATCACATAAGTGCTATCACATTTGTGAAATGTCTTGTCGCTCAAATATTCAGACTAGGCACAGTAAAAAGCGTAGCTCTCATAAAACAGCATTATGTCTTAAAATATAAAATGAATGCATGGTGACAATGAACAGAATTCCTGGAAGGATCTTGGAGATACTGTTGCGTTAAACAAGTGTTCTTAGTGAGGCTACAATGAAGCGCTCACATTTTAATGAGTCATAATGCCAAGAAAAATAACATTGAACCTTACCTCTTTGTCATCACAGGAAATAATGAAAAACTTAGCATCTTTGAAGACACTAGGTTCCATAGGAAACACCCAGTTTATTTACACCGCCAATTGCATCACTCCAAACACGCGCGTCAAAAATATCTGCTTTTATGGTGTTCATAATTCAGTGACTGAGGCATTCAGCTGGCTTGTGTTAATCCTTTCGTTAGGTGCCTGTGTTAATTGCAATGAGCTGTTGTCCAAAAAGCTTATAAAATGCGGAATGTTATTTATCGGAAATAAAAGTATCCAGAAAAACTTATCAGGTCCCAATACTTGACGATAAAAAAGAGTTTGAACTTGGGGAGATTTCCGAGCAGACGGTGAATCAACTCGTATTTTATATGTTTGGAGGACGCCACCAGCTGTTATAGCTAAGATTTGAAGGGAAATTCATAGTTTATGTCTAGACAATGAGTGGAGTACAATGTGCACTACAATATTGTCCACTTAGACTATGAGAAGTAACCCCTGATGCTGTAAAATGTGAAAATAATACCGGTGTTTGATTATAGGTGTCTGCGTTCTATCTCATGAGTAAAGCGGTATAACATGGCGAGTGCTGTTGAGGTTACGGATAATGTTTAGGTGGGAGGATAAGTTAGTCTTCAAGGTAGGCAAGGTGAATAGGTTGAGATAGCTAGAACACATACTGGCATACCAAACCATCGCCTTCCTCGAGGGACAATGCTAGCCAGGACATGTTAAGGTTCAAAATGTGTTCAGGAACCTATACCTTACAATCAAGAAGCGAGCACAAAGAAATCAAATTGGTTTATACTAGCTCGTAAAAACGATATTGGATATTGGAGGTCGGTCAAATGAAAAACTGGTATTGGTTCATAAAATCGTTCAGGGTCAGCTAGAAGTACTAATAGAGATATGACTGCAAATCTTTGTTAATGTCATAGACGCATTCACTCTGTGTAATCTCACGTATCTATCCAACTCACGTTTTTCCTTGTCAATATTTATTCTCCCTCACATTTTCGCTCGTTAAACTTCCATTTAATTTTATGTCTCTACCTTTGTGTGCTACATGGAATGTGGTAAATTAAACAGGTGAACTTCTTTGCGAAGTCATACTGAAAGCCAGGCGGAATGACACAGTCTAGGCATAACTAAATGCGAAACAGTGAATAATGATCTCCGAAATTTAAACAAATGACTCAGGACCTAAATGACTTTAGCAGAATAAGGTTCCGATCGTGCAAACACGAGTCCTGAGCATTATCATTTCACAAATGGAATGCAGCATACTTTATATTAGGGTAAATGTTCTGCCTCGCTTGCTGGAGCTGGTGTTCCTCGGGACATTGTCATCTCTCCTTTCTTTTCTCTCTTTCGCCTTACATGATTTTCCTCTTTCTAATGAGAGCAACTTCGTCAAATACGCTGGTGATCTGACCGTCTCACTTCCTGTCATGTTACAATGTGACTGCAGCAAACTTAACTGCTTCCTGTCTGTAGTCTAAGGTACATGGTCTAACGTTAAATCCCTCTAAATGTCAGGCAGTTAACTTTCCCTTCACTCTTAAGCGTGAAATACGAGAACTATGTCGTTCACAGGATGCTTGTATCAAAGAGGGCACTGAAACAGAAACTAAGTCTAACATAAAATACCATGGAGTAACTCTATCCCCTGGTCTTTCTTGGTCATTCTATATCTCGTCGATTTCTAAGAAAACCCTCAGTCTAGCTAACCACGTTATGTAGTCAAGACAGTCAGGAATCATTCAACCTCTCTTTTTTACAATTTGTTAACTCTTGCATTGGTGTTTACTGCTCCTCCGACTATGTCGTATTGTTCAGGGTATTAAGGTTGTTAGTAGGGCAAGTGGTGTACCATTTAGTCAACTCGTTAATGCATTAGTTGAGACACATCTAAACTCATGTGAGAAATGGTCTAAATCCATACTGTCTAACCCTCAACGTCCCCTCTATTCTCAGCTCTTCCCTTTAATTTCATCTGATGGAACCAGAAGTCAGTATAAAAGATTATATGATCGTTTATGGAATTACTTAATTCCGAAAATTGTTGTCGTTTTCACTGGCAGCAGTTCACGGCGTACTGAGTTTAAACAAGTAAAATGCCCATTTCTCACTTTACCGAGGAGACACCAACTAGGACTCTAGAAAAGTATGTGAATTTTATGAATCTGTAGACTGCATTCCATTCACCCAATACTGAAACTAAACTATGAGGGAACTGATATTTCCAAGAAGGATATAATACAAGGCTCATTTCTACAACTGTCGTCCTTATTTTAGTTCACTTTCATCATACATGTATTAACCGAATTATAAGTATAAAACTTGGGCACTGTGGTAGAGTATAATTCCATTATAGATAAGATTTTATTTTGATAAATCGCACAGTGTTTACAGTTATATAACAACACCAACGATGACCAAATGATACCAGTTGATGAACTTAGCGGTGGATCAGAAGCTGTTGTTGTTCGGCTTTCAGTAAAGTTGTCTAACTGCAAGACCACCACCACTGCTGTCTTTTACTATCAGCTCAGGTTTAGCACTAGCATCTGATGATAGGTGGGCTACATGCTGATCAATCACACTGACGGTCTCACAAGTATGCATGCCTTCTGCAACTGCATCTGCATTTATTTCTACTTCACGTTGTAGTTGTACAGAACCTTTGTTAAACTCAGCAGTAGTAGGCATATCCCTCATCTCATCATGATCAACCAAAGACAAATGTGAAGTATCATGATCATTATCACAAATATTCAATTTACCGTCAAGTTCATCATTTTCAAACTCTTTAATAACAGAAGTAGATAATTTTGGTTCCTCCTCACAAATCCTTAAAGGTTTTATGTCTTCACTCTGACTAGTAATACCTTGTAAACTTGTGGAGTCAGAACTGCACTCTGAAGTAGTAACTCTATTCTGTGACACTCTATTCAACAATGGCTTACCAGTTGCAACTACAGACTTCTCCACCGCACCGTTATCGTCACACAATTCGGAGTCAGGCCTGGAGTTTACATTTAGCTTATCACTGAACTTGCTCACTGGTTCACAGCTCACCTTTGTATGCACCTCTTGCAAACGTGTAAAACACAACCGTGTTTGTCTTGCATCTTGTAACTTATCTGTTGAGGATGTACTACGAAACCTGTTACACTCACTAGGTCTATATGCACTACTAGACATCATGGAGCCTTCTCGATATCCACCTCTTTGAGGCCTATTCGTCATCAATGATTGCGTTTTTCCCTCAGACTGCTCTATTCTAGGGGTGAGATGTAATAGACTGGCGAACTTGCTCATAGATTGATTGACACTATCTTTAACTAGTTTCAGGATATCATCAAATTTTGGCTCGATACCCTCATCCTCCATACGGGAGCTTATCTTCACCCACTTCCTTTGCAGTCGAGTAGGTAGGCGTCTTGCTATTACTTCTAGTATAAAACTCGAGTTGAGGTCACTCATGCAATTCATCGAAATCAATGCATTCTTGTAAGTCAACAGATTATCCAAAAACTCAGTGAGTGCCTGGGAGTCATCCTGTAATTGACCACCATTACCCTTAACAGCCTCGAATAATTTCCCTACAATCATCGAAGGTCTTCCAAACCTTTGACGTAGTATGCTCATAGCCTTGTAGTAGCCCTCTTTTAGCTTCATAAACTTAAAACACTGTATAGCTCTTGAAGCATCTCCAGTGCAATACCTCATCAAATACATCAATTTCAATTCATCACTTAATAGAAAACTACTCAGCATGATCTCAAACTCCTTTACAAGTTGTAAGTAATCAGCTGGGTTTCCATCGAAACATCGTGGTTCAAATTTAGGGAGTTTGATGTTCCTATTATCCCTGAACGGCGAAACAGACATAAACACCATGTCATGCTTAACATCAGACACATCGTTACAAGTAACAGACAAGTCACCATGACTTACTTTCCTGTTTGCATCCAAGACGCTCTATCCCTTCTTTGACCCAGGCATTGTTGAACTTGACCCAATTCCAAAAATGTTCCAGATATTGCTTGTTCAAAGAGAACTTGACCGGCACCAGGAAAGATGAACAGTGACTATCCAAACTTTCACCGACTGTCTGAATCCGTCAGAATCTGTTTCCACCGTCAGAAACTGTCAGCCACGTCTCGTAAACCGTTAATACCCAGCTCTTGCTACGCTCGGGCTCACGCTGTTCCTTGAAGTTTCTCAGAAACGCTTAGTAATAACGGACGCGAAAACCAGAACACAGGTTGGCGACTCGAGAATTCTTTATTCTAACACCAACTTATAGCCAAGTCTACACCTAAGGTCTGTGAACAAATATTACAATGATAAATCACAATATTATTTCTGACGGTTTTGTCCTGACTTCTTTCTGAACAGCGACCGATGAGACGATGACTGTCGTATTGATGCCTCCGCGAAAATTGGGGAAGTTGGTTTTGAGCAAACAACCATGAATTGTTTGTGAATGTAGTTGACGATTGAACGATCAATTCATGGCTGTTTGCTCAAAACCAACTTCCCCAATTTTCGCGGAGGCATCAATACGACAGTCATCGTCTCATCGGTCGCTGTTCAGAAAGAAGTCAGGACAAAACCGTCAGAAATAATATTGTGATTTATCATTGTAATATTTGTTCACAGACCTTAGGTGTAAGCTGGCTATAAGTTGGTGTTAGAATAAAGGATTCTCGAGTCGCCAATCTGTTTTCTGGTTTTTGAGTCGGTTCGTTCTAAGCGTTTCTGAGGAGCTTCGAGGAACAGCGTGAGGCCCAGCCTTGCCAGAGCTGGGCATTAACGTTGTACGTGACGTGGCTGACATTGATCCTACCATCTTCTACTTCGTTGATACCTTACATTGTTTCCATATGTCTCCTCGGTTTTCATCACATTTATGCTCATTAGCGTTCCATTTAATTTCTTTTTCTCTACCTTTGTGTTCTACATGAAATCGGATAACTTAAACGGGTACACTTGTGTGCAAGCTTCTATGTTGGAAGTAAGTCTGTCAGAATGATCTATAGTCCAGGTATGATGAAATGCTGAAACGTGGATAAAAGTAGGCAAAATGTCAACAAATGATCGTGGTGTTTTTTCAT